TCATTAGATGTCTACATTATTCAATTCAAAATTTTCAATACATTTTTGAGGAAGATAAAACATCTGGCCAGCGCGAGGAGAGCTTATTCATAAAAATAATTATAAGTGATATCATCATTATCGTGAATAGCGTGATTCACGATATTTAGAGCTGCATAGTGACATGCAATATGGTCGCATAGGTGAGTGTAGTAGAAAACTGCAGGGGTAGCACGTGTATTCTCTTTTATCCTTGTCAAAGAAATCTTGCCATTATACTCTATTTTCTCATGTAGTTGAATAAAATACACTAGATAAGATTGCATTGTGCCTTCGAAGTTATCGCTTTTCTAGCCTGAAGATCACTTATTTAAATGCTTTTCCATCAAAAAAATCAAGGACCTGCTAACTCTAGTTCCAAAGTTATATCTTCGGGAAATTTTGGGGATGGGGATGAGACTGAGTTTCCTCCCCGAAACTCCCCGTCCCCGACCATTTTCAAGCGGCGGCCATTTTCGGAGTCTCTCCGTTCCCGAAATGTCTTCGACTCTTCCCGTCCTCGACTTTTTTTCTCTCCCCGCACAACACTAGGAAAACCATCAAATTATATCCGTTGCTGAATTAATAAAATGGAAACGATTAAAACTAGGTGGGTGAAGTAACTTCTTCTTTCAATCTCTCTACCTCTCCTTGTCAAACAGGTAACGAGATTTTAACAGGGATATGAAGCCGATTTCATTTAGTGGAATAGATCAGAGTTTGTGTTTGAATTTGGAGAAACTGTGAGAAGATAATATGTTGATGGAGTAGATTTCAGGCTCCGGTGTTTCCATTTGCGAACAAGAGTTTTGTAGCGTTTAATTTGCAACGTTTGACAGCGAGTTTAAGAGAATTATTTTGGTGGATTCGTTCTGTTCGAGGAAAATTTGAAAAATTCCTCCGTTTGGAAATCAAACTGACGTTAAATGATGTTGTGGTCTGTTCAAAGATCAATATAAAATCTTCGCACTACTAAGTTTTGAAACCTAATGTAAATAAAGTTTCAAAACCTAATGTTAATAATCTCTTCTGGTATTCGGATACGCTATTGAAATCCCTACATTACTTCTTCAAGACGAAACGTGTGCGTTTTCTTCGAACATTTTCAACGACATTAACGGAGTGCTTATTACCTTATTCATCAGGAAAGGATGAACGGGGAGAGGTATGTTTTAGGGTGGTCGAATATAGGTTACGTACTTTGTTTAGTATGGATAAGGTAATGAAGCCGAACCTTCCTGATGTAAGTGATGCTCTGGTGTTTTCTTTCTAGCACAACTAACGAAGTGTGCTGGGAACCTGATGATGAAATTTCAAACTTGGGTTGCTTATGACACCTTGATCTTGGATATGTGAAGAGAGAAATAATTCTTGGCTTTGGATGTTGAGGGGATTATTAGGATTGTTCTTACCAATTCTAATTAACTTCGTTTGGGGTCAGCGTAAAAGCCAATTTGATGATTGTTGGTTTATGAAATTAAATTGAGTTTGTAAATTGTTGGAGAACGTGAAAATACACATCAGTGGTGCAATTGCAGATTTTGAGGGAAGATTCTAAAGCAGCGAGTAGCGATAGCGAACAACAGACTAATTTTGCTTACAAGGAAAGATCATGAACGTACCCCCCTCCCCCCTCCCCGTTTCGGAATGAGATACATATCATATTGTAGACCTCCGCGAGCTGATCATGAATATATAAAAAGTTTCTGTTAAACATAAAGGGACGCGAGATATGGCGGAAAAAGGTTTCCAGTGTATTGAAGTAACCTTCTGAGTCTAAGTCTGATAACGGCAGTTTGGCTCAGCGGGTAGTGCACTGGCATGAAGTGTGAATGACCGGTGGTTCAAACACGTTTGATGATGCAAACTTTTCCCTGGGCTGGTGTTGAAGAAAATTGTGGTTAATCAATTACTAATCGTGTGTCAGTACTGATAAAGTCAAGATGAACGTGGTGAAAGCTAAAGAGCTGAAAGTTGTGAAAAGGCAGTCGCACGTTACGATGGAATCGTGGTAATGTGCGACTGTAATCACACGAGAGTGAATCTTGCTGATGAATGTTTTGAATATTCGAAAGAAAAATCGATCAAGTGGTTGAATATGTGAAGTTGCGCCAAAGGGTATGTTTTCTACCTCAAATTACATATTTGACGGAAACAATTCTCTAATTTCATCATGTCTCCTAAACGGTGTCTATGAACCTAAAATGAATCCATGTGTTGTTGCATTTGCAGTGTTGTAACACATTTCCTGAACCACGAATGCACTTGCGATTTGGTCATAATGTGTTTATCACTGACACATGATTAGTAATTGATTAACTACAATTTTTTTCAACATCAATCAAGAGAAAAAAATTTTCGTCAGTGCTATCTGAACCACCGGTCATTCAGACTTGATGCCAGCGCACTACCCGCTAGGTGAAACTGCCGTTGTCGGTGAAACTTTAGAATGTTACTTCAATATGCTGGAAACCTTTTTCCCGCCATATATCACATCCCCTTTGTGTTAAGCAAAAATTTATTTCATATCCATGATCAACTCGCGGGGGTCTACAATATGATACATATCTCATTCCGAAATGTGGGGTCAGTTTCGTGATCAGTGATTCAGCGATAGCATTTCGCCACTGTTTTGGCCATAATAGCAATAGTGCATTGTTTTTTAGCGGATCAGCGATATCGGTAGTGTGCCTATCTCTTCCAAAAAGTCGTTGATAAATCGCGGATTTCTAGTAGATGCACACAAGCTGTTGCTCACTAATAAAACCAACAATCTTTGCTACGGCACACATATGGCTCCTGTGACATAAGCATGGCCATATAGTTAACCAGCTTTTGGAATGAATAAAATTATCAATCTCATTGAGTGTCGTTTGCTCGTCGATTCTTGAGATTCCGTGCAATGCAAAGTAGTTATTGAGTGAGAACGATTTCACGAATGATTATGATATTTTATTATGGTAAAGATAATTTATTCATCTTATCATTTTTAATGGAACGACAAAAAGCGATTGAAACGAGATTGATTTATGAATTTCAAATGGAGAAAGAAGACAATACAAGCAACACATATGACAACAAACAAAAATGAAATCAACCAATGAATCGCTTAATAAACTTACATATATTACTACGTTAGCAGCAGCATATTAACGGAGTACAATTCAACCAGACAAACATTTACTAGTGCTTACAACACGTAATGAACAAATAAGATCCCAACAAAGAGGAATTTCGTTAGAAGATGAAATCGCAGTGTTTAGTGATGCGCGGTAATGATCCTCAAAGAAACGGTTCATTGAATTCATCAAATACCTGACATGCCTGAATTCAATCAACGTGTTAATCATAGCATCATTTGAAGCGACGGCCGATTAAGATCCTAGCTAAAAAATTGAATTAGATTGATACGTGAGATGCATACAAAAAATGTGGAATAATAATTCATAGATGCTGATTTACAGCAGATGTTCACAAATAAACTTAGTTAACATGCATCATGTCGCAAAATATATTCAAGAGCACGCTGATGATAAGAGAACTAACCTAGAAAAAGATGAATTTGCGCAAAAAGAAATCATACCAACGAATTAGCGCGAATTGGTACGAAATTGAGGATATGCATAATGAAAGAGCTATGTATATCATTGATATAAGATTTTTGTTTCTGAGATCAGTACACAAAAAGTTCAAAGGCGCCAATAAAGGAGCATATACAAGTGAAGAGAACGAAAGGAATAAAAGTACGACAGCAACAACAAGGGTATGTGATAGAAGAAAAGCCAGAATATCAATTAGTGTTTATGATGAGAAGAAAAGAAATAATATTTGATATCATGAAATTAGATGAAACCACTTCATTACCACCAAATTAGTCAATAACCATCATAATGTTATATATGGAATGAACTGACTCTTTAACATATTCAAACCGCTTCGAATTATCAATTACTAAACAAATGGAGAAGAAATGAAGATATAAACGAAAAGTTGAACATTAGCAGCAATAGCCACGAACAACTATAACAAATTCATATGTGCAAATAATCCAAAAAACAAAAATCACAGCCAAAATGAACAACACAAAAAAATTTTCAAAATAATAATCAATTAAGGAGAATACCGCCAGAAATAATATTCATATAAATCCACAAGAAGGAAACGTATGGAATTCAAAATAGACAGCAACTACTACTAATTATGTCAAACATCCTGCTGACGATGAAAGAAAATGAATTAATTGATGGAAAATGATGAATATTAGAAATAGAGTAGGCACAATTCAGTTGAGGTAGCAAAGCAGTATTCGTAAGCGGAATCAAAATTCACTTCTTGGGTACAAAAAGAAAAATGAGGAAAAAAATTGGAAGCGAACAAATTTTCAATCAAATGCTATTATTCTGCACCTGAGATGAGATCACACTCAGTGAGAGTATTATTAATATCATATTATTAAAATTATTGTATTACTATTATTATTATCACCATTAAAATCAATATCGATGCTAACAACATATACAAATAAATGATCGATGCGCAAAACACTTCCGAGATAGAAGCAACCAAGCGCACGACATGAAATCGATCAACTGATGAGCAATTAACCACATACATCAGCAAAAAATTCGTTAAATAACTGCCCAATTTACCATCGAAGTATTCTCCTCGGTGGTGATCGCACGAAAATACTGCAAGGCTTATGCTATTTGTTTAACAGTATCCTACTGTTTGCTGAAAACTTATACGAGTAAAAATATTCGCATTGTGGCAGTAGACAAACATAAACCACGAATATCAATGATCAAGCAACCACCATAAAAGAACCGTAATTTCAGACGACGTAACAATACCATATGGTGCTACAATACCAGAGAGAACACTAATATGATGGATTTAACTATTCAATAATAAATGAAACAGACATATAAAAATCATTCAGTTATGCTACAAACGACAGAGCAATAAGAGCAAACTATGAATTGTCAAAAGGCCCGTCCAATTGAGTGCAAATATTGCTGAGCAGCTGCAACCTGCAACACAGAGTATCAAAGCAATAACTACAATGTGAACAAAATCTGGGTACGATGAGTATGATAAAGCATAATAAAATGGTCTACCTCATTTCGATAGCAGGGTAGCACAGCGAGTCTATCGCGAATACGTGTCAGTAAACGTCCCAACATATTCAAGCCTCGCCATCGTGATGGATCTGTGGTTTGTGGTTCATCCATACCCAAGCCTATACCCCAACGTTGATCACGTGGATTACATTCCACCAAAAGTGTCGACAGAGTCAAAAACAGCTGTTGACGCAACTCGGCATTCTGTTGATACTGCAAAAAAGGCGCAATATATTAGAGATCAAGTTCATTCGATGATTCGAGAATGGCACATTTCTACACATCAATAAGAGTAAACAAAACTGTGCAGACCAACCTTTCGTAGGTTCGCTATGGCCATTACTTGATGCGAAATACGATTCCACGCTGCCTGATCGAACTTTCGCACCTTAGAACCAATCATTTTCATTTGTTTCGGATTTCTTGTAGCCAATATTTGCGACGCTGCCTCAAAATCCCCGAATTTTCCTGTAATATGGTGAGGGGAAAACGAAAATGCAACATTTCATTCATAGAAAGAATCAAGTCGAACAAGTAATTTTAGACAGGACTCAAGTTAAAACACAATGAAGGCAGATTACAGTTCAATTTAAAAATAAAACACCTACTAGCTTTCCAATACATATAATATTGCTCAGTGCATACGAATTGCATGTTGTCGATTATCAACTGCGGACATACGAAATGATTACTGAATACATACTTGTCCGTGAAGAATAAGGTCAACGGAAAATTTCGTGTTGACATTCGCACAGGTGCCTGTGGTGACATTCTAACCGTTGTTATAGATGCCTGAAAGTCACCTTGCTTTCCCTCAATTACATCCAAAAAACCAGCCAGAATGAGATGAGACGCTGTGAAATGAGAAAAAATGCACAAGGTAAAAAGACTGATGATATACAACAAGTAATAGTGTTAAGAAAGACTAAAAATGACAAGAATATAAAAACGCACTGTTGAGGGCGATGCATAAATATTGTACGGTGCCTCTGGAGCTAAAACCGTGCCTGCAGGAGCTGCACATAGATTGATCGTCTGCTGTCGATGATACATTGCATTATTTCCATATTCCAACAAACTCTCTTGAGATGTACCGCTTTGTGTTGTACTTCGACTGCTGGTCCATTGTCGTCTCAAGCTCCTAAAAATATGGAAAATTCTGAGGCAAGAAGGATACGGCTTATACATTATCAACTCATTCGTATTCAGCAAAAACATCGTGCAAACTTTGAAATATTGTAAACAAAACACACCTTATCTCGACAATTCAGCCTTTGATTTCAAAAAAGTATAGCTTCAGCAGGAAGATTTTTTGTTCAGCTCATAAAAGAAGCTCAAATTATATAAATGCCAGAATCACTGGGATGAGAACGATTATCATTTTGTAGGAAGGGTTAGGGAATTGACCTTTTCGACGAATTCGATGATTCAGATGATGAACTCGATGTCCTTGAGCGATTACTGTTACGTCGAGGACTACGCCGCGTTAACGGCGAATGCAGCCGGCTCATTCAGCAGGACGTTTTGGTTATTTCTGCTCTGCCTAGCTGCAATCAGTACAATCTGATAGTTCACTTTGACGCTGACAGCTCGTTTTCCTGAGACACTTTCGAAAGGATACAATTGCCATTTGATGTTTCATACTTAAACGGTATGCATTCATGAGTTCTGCATTCCTCACACGATCGCTATGATAACATGTACAATATCACAACCATTAAAGGTAACAAAATATAGCTGAAAATCTAAAATAAAAATACCATGAAGTAACCGAAAATCACCTCAACGGACCAATCTGCCACTTGTTTGGCAGCGTTGCCAACACTCCACATTCAGTCATCTCGCCTTTATAGTTCGCATAAAATACCGTAATTGGTTCGCAACAGAACCAAGATCGTTCCTCGCACTGAATAAACAGTGCTGAAACGTTGTTCAAATCCCATACGGTAAGACTCATATCGTACTGTGGTGGGCTACTTCATCACGGTGATTTGTTGAAGCAGGAAATTATTCTTTGAAGCACTGGATGGAAAAGCAAATGACAAGAACTCTTCTAGTAATACGTCTGTCTCAATTTAGGTTGTCAACTGATTCGAGCAAGCACATTGCTTTTACAACATTGAACCTAATAGGTAGCACACTTCATTCGTTCATATAGTTATACGCGCCAACCTATCTACGTTTTATTGATCACATGCATAGCAGTAACAAAAAACATCACTATGCCTCGAGGCAAACAGCAAATGCAACCACCCGTCTGGACACTCATATAGCCATGCGTCATCCACATATGCTTCAGTGTTCCTCTTCTTCGCATCGGTGGCATCGTTTTCTTAGGCTGTAATATTTGACTTTTGCTATTTGGTTGAGGAGCTTTAAAATCACTATTCTTACTTATTATCACTCCTTCGATCCAATTGATTCTTTTATGATTTGCCTTCTCAATCTCAAGGATCGATTAAAAACGAGCTTCACAGTTCATAAACAGTTAATCAGTGAGTGAATGAGTCGTTCAATCTTGATGAAATCAAATCAAATATCAATTAATGAATATTAATCGATTTCGCAGCATGTGGCCACCGCCTGCTTGACAGTGTCAGTCATGTCTTGTTATCCACTAGATAGTCATTTCGATCTTGCTCTCGCAGTTCATTTCTTTTGTGATCGTGTTGAACATCTGTTTTATACGCCACACTTCACATATCATATTATCGCTGGACAGATTTGATGATGAAAACGAAAACCGTCGAAAACAATTATTCATTTATTATGTTTCTGAATTCGAATGAGCTATAATAACTATGGAATAAGCTGTACTGACATATTGCATTTTGTCGATCGAAACGTTGTATTTGTAGCAATCCGAATTTGAGAGGCGCTTGCTATGAATACACCACACGCACAATGTTATGCAGGTAATATTGATGATATTCTATTGGTGATTTTCCAATTAATTATTAATGAAAAACGTCGGAAATCATAAATGAAAATGCTACAGTACACAGCTGCTTAAGTATCTAGATCAATGTGTTTTAAAATTCAAACGTTTATTTATCGAATATCTCTTAGCAGTTGCTTCGTCATATGTGCGTCTTCTCATTCGCTTGTTGCAAATTCGAAGCAATCACAAGCCGTTGTATCCAATTCTAGCTCACGATCCGTCCTCCTTATCTACTGTTTCATGATGAACAGTGGTTTGTTCAGCACATCAATCGCTATCTGATCCGGTGTCAAGCGAATGAAAACAACTAAGCTTCAAAACTGAAGTAATTTCTTGTGATCAGTCACTCTCTAGAAAGGCAGTTTTCACATATGTAAAGGTGAGGATAACATTCAAGGTGAACAATTTCATAAATGACTTAACCGCTCATAAAATTACCAGTTACACCTGTCCAGCTTGTTGCTTGACGTTAACGAAGAAGCGATCGTGTAGCATTAGTGACAATGATGGTGATTGTAATTGCAATGAAAAACTCACCTGGTAACTGTATGAGGTGGATTCTAACTGCAATCGTGCGATCACCACTCAGTAGCATTGAACACAAATGCGCATAATTAAAGGAAATGTTCTTCTATTACTCGAGAGTATTCCGCCTGTCCAATGATTTGATTTGATTGGATTGTGTGTAGTCGTGTGAGTGTTTATTTGTTTACTTATTTATTTCATCTATTGTGAATGAATGAAAGGCTTTGCGTGAATAAATAATGATGTTTTTAGCTGAATAATCTAAATAATTACAGTTTGCCAATTAATTGCGACAATTATATCAATTATTGTAATCACATCCGGTGTGAACGATGTATCTTTGCTTGTTGCGTTCATTATCGTTCTGAACTATTACTTTCCTCTCATCATCAGTTCATTCATTCGTTTTCACTTTAATTTGGCTATTGTTAACCAACAAATACAGCGAAGTTCATAAAAATATGATGCAGTTCACGAAGTTCCACTCAACCATTATGTTAGGAATGAAAGAAAGAAGTTACTGATGAAAGATATCTTCATGTTGTATGGGGTACATTCACAGATAATGCAAACACATCCGTAACGTATTAGCTCATGCAGCAGTAATTAATTGAAATCAAATCCGATGGTTACGACCGTCTGTCTCAAAAAAAAACATTCCGGTAAGTTGGTGTTTGCTCTAGAATTCATCGAATGGCGAAAATATCTTCACATCTTCACATATGATGGATATTTCATTTCTAATTCACTCATTCACTGAATGACTTCTGTTCAGGACGAGAAAACGCTTAACTTTAGGTAGCAATGAGATGAGAAATCAAATATGTGCTGAAAACGATTTGCATTTTCAGTAGCATTCGTCAATAAGCATAAGCACCTATCTATGTAATTTCTCCTGTTAATGTTGTTTTTCTGATAGATTGATGCAGATACGAAAAATTATTATATGAATATAAGCAGCATTTTTGAACAGTAACCCGTACACATATGAGAGAATCTATGTTTGTTTGTATTCATGTGATTGTGAATACTTATACGAGCAGCTAATGAATTCAGTCATTTGGAAGTATTGGAGAGCTAGCAATTATTGATAATAAATAATATAATCGCAAGCGGTAGATAGAGAGTGAATCAATTAGATGTAATTAGCAGCGACAGCATTACGCTACCAGCAAACCAACTATCAAATCAAACATCGCAGAGTATGACAACACAATCTAGGAAAAAAGAGAATATTTTGCAGTCAGTAAGATTATTTGTTCAGTAACTGTTCAATGCAAATGTACGAGCAATCGAAAGTAAAAGGTGGCTCAAGAAGTGAAGTGACATATTACGACACATGAAAAGCATTCTTACGACCCTTGCAAGCGTTAAAAACAATCCATTTCCTTAATGCCTTCAACAGCAAATTTCGACTGAACTAATAATAAAGATGGCAAAAAGCAAAAACTCAATGTGATATCGGCTAATTTTCACTGCGTTTAAAGATGGATGGACGGATTAATTAGTTGGTAAATGAAGAAGATTTGATTGATTAACAGCTTCGGTTGAACTAAGAAAGCAATATGTGAAAATGTGACGATGTATTATGCTGATGAAATGAGTGAATGATTATTGTTTCTTGGTTAGTTTTTCGCTCAGCAATTAGCATCACATATCGAGATTGCATTGCAACAATCAGAAATGGGCAATGTTTTCTCAAATTGTTTCATCCAATCCGTATAAATCAACAAAAGAAAGTGAATCGACTGTTGAAGTTTCACGTTACACTGTGCATGTATCGCACATGGTTTCTGCGTTGTTCGTAACGATTGCGATCGATGAATAATAAAACTCTAGACTGTTTTCGAGCATTCAAATCACTCAAATTGATTCATGCCAATCAACTGAGAATTCGTCTATCAACAGATTCAATTCTCCACTTATGCAAATGTGGTGTTGATCAATTGAGGAAAGATTTGAAAATATTTTGGATAAGTGAATGAATAGTTTGATTGGCCGACGCTAAGCGTAAATGGATGGTAGCAGCTATATGGGAGCGAGACTGAGGATGGTTTCGAGGAGATAGTAAATCCCACCCACTCACTCGTAATTCACGCATTCATCCATGCATCCATCCATTCTACATCATTTCTATCTCAACGTCATACTCTGCCATGCACACACTGATACTTGCTGCCACCTCTTATATTCTACGGCTTGCTTTAAACCTTTATTCATCCTTCACCCATTACTTTCGCTTGTTTCACGATCATCTGACAGAAACCTAAACCTGTCATTGTGTTGATATTATTATTATTACTTGCAGCATCACGTAATATTATTACAGTTCTTCATATTAATTGACTTTCACATCCATTATGACACTTCGTGTTACTATCACTAACTTCAATAACTTTACTTTCATTGTCATACAAATGTGATGAAGAGCCAAGGGCAAGCTACTAGGCCACTAGAACATTTTATTTTTCTGCTGCTTTCGCTTCTAAACAAGTTGCAATGGCACTAATAAAGGCAAAAGTAAAAGCCCATTAGCCAGCCGGGTCATCCATCGTCCTTGTGTCAATAGGAATTTATCCAGTCGAGCAACACAAATAATCACTTCTTGCTCGCTGCCAACCGACTAACTGAATGCGATTCAATTCGAATCAATTCAACTCAACTGAAGCACTCTATTCACCCACCCGTTACTTTTTTTGTCTTATTCATCCATCGTTTTTATGCACCTCGACTCCTTTTTCACCTTCAACTTCTTTTTCATCTTTCTTCATGAAACCTCTTTGAATATCTCATCCTCCGCAATCAATTAATCACTAAGTCATTATTAGTTGAAAGCAGCGATATAACGACTTTGTTGGATTGCTTCATCCTGTTCGGATAATCGCTGCTTCAAACATTCATTTTACTTTGCTTTCAATTTCTTGTTTGCCAGTTCATTCATTCATGACGTACAGAAAACAAAAAAAAACGAATTCGCCCATTCAATAAATGTTTCACACACTCATAACTCACAATAATGATTCGAGCCTTTTGTTCCACAATCAACATTTTCAGATTTGATAAGTTGATAATTCAAGATGAGGACTTCTGTACGAATGAGATCAACTCAATTGATTGTTTTTTTTTCAGATCAACTGATCAATTTCTTCAGATGACGAGTCTCTCGGTTGATGCTGTGCCATTATGTGTTTAATACGAGAAAAATCGAACTTCCTTCTTCAAAGTTACTTTCGAGTAAGGAGCAAAGAATCTTTTTTTCTACTCCTACTTTCAATTGAACAGCAACGGGAATAGTTTCACAACCAGTTATTAGGAAACAAAAAGACACTTTTGAAAGACCGTACAAAGTAAATAATCGAAAACATCTATAATTAACTGTCTGTAAACTATAAGAAGATGGAGAAAAAAGATAAAAGGGGAAGGTGAGTAAATGAAAAGACAGAAATGCACATGATCACACCAATTTAACTTAAATCAAATCAACTCAAGTCATTATAAATGAGTAACAAGATGATAGAAGAGTACATAAAACAAGACATATATCATACACAGCCAGCCTTTTTTGCTTGTATATCAAGAATGCAAGTATATTTATTGTATCTATAATATATTGAAGATAATGAGTGAGAGTCGATTAAATTATCGAAATGTCATGACCTCATTAACAGCTGTCAATCGTCTTAAGTAAATATTGCCTGTCCCAACGTTCTGCGAGTCACTTTCGATCTTCTCAATGAATAGATTATTCCATTGAATCGTCGTTACTGTCAAGAGAAGATGCAAGGCATCTCTTCTCTTTTAGCACTTTTTCGTCATTATTATTACTAGTCAATCAACAATGCAAAAAACGAATAGATGAATGAATGGTAAAGCTGTCTTATCCATCAACCCAAAAGAAGCCTTCTTGATTTCTACCAGCATCATCATTCTATTCTCACCGCTCTTGGTATCTGCTTGTTCACCCAACATCCACTTCTCTAATAGCGACACAGATGTGCTGTCGATGCCACCAAAACCCTTTAGTGTGCCCTTATTCCTGTTTGCTTGAATACTTCTTTGCATAAATATTGATGAATGCATGCTCTTAGTATCCATTTATCCGTCTAATTCGATTTCCAATAAGCTCATACTTGATTCAGTTGTTCCGGAATATTCTCTTTCAAGTTTAAAACCAACGTATGAGCTCATATTTGAAGTTGAGAACCAATAGAAATGTTTTGCTGTTTTACGTGCATACGTCTGATTATGTTGGCTGAGCAGTTGATTGAATGAATAAATGAAGAAATGATTAAACGAACATTAAAGCTCACAAGTGAACAAATTCAACAAGAAACTTAGAACAGTTTGAAGAGAAGATTTCATGAAGAAGATGAACGAGAAATCTATCAAATGTGCTCAGTTGATCACGTTGTACTGGCACATTTCCGTTGCTAATCGCCTATTGCCATCAACTATTGTTAAGCTGTTTGTTGACTAAGTGACTAACTGACTGACGGACTGAAATCTTTCTTTGACTTGATGAGTTAGTTGAGTGTCAATGAAAAAGGGTAGATAGCTCCTGGCTTCAGTAAGTGCCTAAATTCAACTTGATTGAACTGAACGAATGACTGTTCTTTGTGATTAGTTAGTTGTTTGGCTGATGTAATCGTCTTTAAACTGATTTCTTCTTTTATTTGTGGAGACAAAACCGATTGTTTTGAACTGTTGTTTGTTGATTCGATCTGATGTAATGTTGTGAATGGAGCTCAGAACATAGTAGAAAGTTGATAATGAAAGAGAAGCGATGTGTCGATTAATGATAGTTGAATTATGATAATAATAACGCGGGATTAATTTATCATTTTTATCACTGAATCGGTATCACATTCACAATTTACTCACTCAATGAAATTACGGGATCAATTTTCAGAAGAAAATAGCTAAACAAATTGCTGACAAAATTACATCAATTAATTGCATAGTTGCTTATCGATGCGAAGTTTTCTTCCTGTCCGCTTCATCAAAACAAGTAAAATCTACTGCTTGTTTGCCACAAATCTATAGTTTTCTTTGTAAAACAGTATTACACATGAAAAACATAGTTTAGAGATTTAAAAAATTTTTTAAGTTTCAAAAGATATCATTAATTTTCAGTTGGTACGCATTCACTTATAGTTTTTGGAGTTGTTGTTTGCCAACGATGATGATTATTATCATTATTAGCTAAAAATGCTCTTTCGTTTAAGCACATAATTATAGCTCTTATGATACATGCCAGCGCTACACTCATTTACAGAAAAGAAAGATGCAGATTATTTCGTAGAATAAGAAGAAACATTCTTTGGGAAAGAACAGAATTACTGTGAAATTATAGTATCTACATAGTCATGCACAACTGTTGGTTGCTGATTGCATTGTACATCATTAAGGAAGGTTATTATCATTCATTGTGAGCAGTCGTCGCATGAAAGCTGGCGTGAGTATGGTGATCAGCTTTTGTGGCATGACGCCTTACTAACTTGATATTATTTATTATTATTATTATTATTACTAAGTTATCGATATGATTATTTGTATTGTCAGTTCATTGTTGAAGTTAGCAGTTGTCGTTTGTGCATTAATTGAACGAGTTGTTCGTGAATTTGTAGACATTTTCTGAAATGAAGGCAATTTGCAATTAGATGCTTGTTAGTATTAATATATCAGTGCTTTGCTTCGGTCTGTTTGTCCCCAATATATACTAGAATATGAGATATATATGGAAGCATTATGCGTATATTCCATGCATACATCTGATGTTGGATAATCTTGGCTACTACTAGCGTTTAACAACTACGTAACGCATCACTGTTGCACCGGATGGACCTCTTTATTCTTCCTCTTCTTCTTCGTCAGTCTCATAGTGCCGAAGATGTCGCCTACTCGTCTTATGTTGTTTCCTTCGAATGTATATTTTTTTCGATCCTCTCTTCAAAACTCCCTTCTTTCACTTTTATTCATCTCGATCCCATCCATTTCATATTCATTATCCTGAAATTCTATCATTGAATTCGCCTGTCACCGAGCAAATTTCCAAGGAAATTTGTAGAGATGAGCGATTGTAAATTGAATGAATTATGAGAATCTGAAGTAAGAAATTGCTAGTTTTGATGTGTCTCGTCTCGTCTTGAATTCAACATAAATCTAAATATGTGTCCAAATAAAGTGATTAGTGACGGCTAATAGCGCTGCTGGCTGTCTGCTATTATATTCTCGCTTCACAACACACATAAGTATCGTTGCTCATCAACATAGACAGACATATTTACGCAAAAATAGTCTTCTGGCAGCAAGTTCATTGCAATAATAACGTGCATCATTCAGTACCTAATTAGATAACTGCATTTGTGAAAATTAAATGATCATATTCTAATAACGAATCATTTGAAGATTATTTATCGAATGAATGAATAATTCAGTTACCACTTACGAGTGTTCTGTCCTCAACTATTTATGTAGGTTCCGTTTGACGTTGCGTGATGATATGACTAACTGATTGATTGTTCGTTTATAATTCTGATTCGTTACATTTAATGTTTGAGAAGATTTGAGTTAATGTTCACAAATTCCTAAAATGGTAATGGATGATGATTCTTCAACGAAGGAGCGGCAGACGAGTGTACCGCATTAATTTAATAGCACTCGTAATATTTCAGTTTGCAGGCAAGTTTATTGCTAGTTGTTATTGCCTACGACTTCGTCTACATCCAAACTGATCGTTCGTTGCTTGTTGTTCGCTGAAGGCCATTGCTAGTGCTGTGTTGCCGCGATTCTATATATTTTCTGACGATATATTCAAACATCGTCGTTGACACCAACAACAACAACAGCAGCAGCAGAAGTAGTGGTAGCCATCGGCTACATTGACTATATTCGTTTACTGCCACTAGTATTATTACCAATACTTCTACAATATCAACTAACTCAGCCGTATTGATTTTGAGTCAAAAAAACAACGTTGCTTGTAGTTATTCTTTGTATATGAGAAGCAAAAGCGAAGCACTAGCATCAGTAGCAACATTAGCACGAGAAGAGGCAGAAGCAGAAGAAGAAGCAATAAAACGATTAGAAATAACCTAAATAATCACTAAATAAATTCACTTTGGCCAGTTGTAACATAATATAATATTTAACAGAAATCAATAACAACAACAACAACAACAACACCATCCGGCTGGCTTCTCAATAAAATAATATTAACAGACTTGCGGCACAAAAAGATTCTCAAAAAGAACTGAACAAGAAGCAGAAGAAGTAGAAGAGGACGAAATAAAAGAAAAAACGATTTAAGAATTGGAATAAGAGGTCGTCTGCGAAGTTATTATGAAGAATCAAATGATATTTTTTTCAACAATTATTTTACTTGCAATCATTGTTCATCGCTCAGAACAGGTACATTTAAATTTGTTATATGTTGTGCACATAAGTGCTCATGTTTCTTTCATGATTAGCTGTGTACTATAAGCTGATTAACTGAAAACGTTATCTAGAATCATGTCTCTTTCTGTGTTTTAGAAAATGCAAATTGAAAAAAAACGACATTAATAGCGAGAGCTGAGCTGTTTTTTCGTTCATAAATAATACTTTCTACATATTATCAGATCTTATGTATGTTACACTGCACGCATGAATTTCATTTCACGTTAGTTCATATTCAGAATATGAATTTTTGCATTCATCTCAATGCTGTACATATATACTGACTTTTATGCAGAACTGTTTGTCACCTCTGTTTCGTTCATTCATTCATTTGACTGGTAACAATACCGTTAAAATGCTAGCAGCATGTTCGGAAACAAAGTAGAAAGTACTTTGCTGGTGGACTTTTCCTAAAACAATGGTGATAAGTGAATTCAACTTTGTGATCTCTGTAACAAAAACAAAACCTAATTATGAATCAAAAATTAGTTTCTTTGAGAGTAACATACTAGTATTACCAACGTAATGACGTGATATCAGTAGATAGTGAGGACAATCACTATGATAATGGATATATTAAATTGAGCCACCCCATTCCAGTGGCTAATAATCGAACATCAATCAGCGAGATATACGAAAGCCGAACAGTGCAACATGAATTGATTTTTTCAAGGCGTGCGCATAAATATATAATATTTATTCCGCTTATGATCATGTTTTAATGGATGAATATAATAGAAAACTGCAAAGAAGTAGAAGAAAAAGAAAGTCGTTCCGCTTTTTCCATGAATGAATTCAGTAGATTCTGCAAGCAAGATTCGTCTCCAATTACATTTTGGCGTAACATGATCCGTCAAAATAAACACAATCGCATAATCAAATTGCAGTAGCAGCGTTAAATATTCATGTTTTGTGGTGTGATTTGTGAAAGGATAGATAACCTGAAGTTATCGTCCTCTTTTGATGAAGGTATAGTTGAATCAATCAGATATGAATGATGAGAAAAAGCAACGTATAATAAATAAGGAATGGATTCTTTTGCTTAGCAAGCAAAGCAATGAAATCAATTAGCCATCCAATATCCTAAAAGAAATGTGCTGTAAATGATATTTATAAGTCTGAATTCAAAATTGGATGAATTCACAGTTCATATGGCTAGTTTCCGCATCCTGTGCATCAAGTGAAACTAGATCAGTCATCAGACTGAACGAATGAATACTTCTTCCAAACCTAATGTTGCCTTAATATAACAATTTCAATATTAGTCTAACTGCGACACAACTTGGTGATAAATCACGTCAATTCGGATGAATTTCAGGTATGTGATTATTTGACGTTAGTGAAATGCTTTATAAATATATTGGACGAATGGGCGTGGACACTTTATGAGTTAAAAGATAATGTGGTAACGATAAATGAAGGACAATGCGAGCATTTAAGGCAACTGGATCTTTGTATAACGGTACGTTCGTTCTTCGATAATGCTTCTGATTTCGTAGAGACAGACACTTTCTCAGTCTTGTATACCCTCAATGGTTTCAGCTTTCAGTTGTCCACAGATTGATTTGGTGATACAACAATGAGAGAGATAAGAAAGTTGAAGTAATAAGGTTTCATAATCAGAAGGACGAAAGAGTTTATAACCGGGATTGCACTAGTAACAACAACTTATTGTCGTTTGTTTATAAAAAGTGTAAACATTAGTTTCTCGTCGTCGAATTTACCATCCTCATACGACCAGATTACACATCATAATTGAGCCAATAAATTAAATGTTTATAAATATGACTTTATTGCTTCTTATTTCAAATTGAATGAACCTGTTGATTGATTTTCCAGCTGCGAGTGCTAGCAGTAGCAATGATGACAACAATTTTTTTTATCACTGTGGTTATTATCATATAGTAACAATAACAAATAAGAACGATAATCATATTATTATTAATATTACTAACAGTAATCACTATTCAAACTAATAAATCAAATGTGCTCGAAACTGTTCAGTGGGATGCTGCCGCTGTGAAAACTCATAATGATAGCTGTTTTCCCTGCATTATTCATTCATTTCAGCGCCTTTTCTCTTTCATTCCACTACATAAATGCGTATACAAAAAGTCACACTGATCGTTAGATCATTTATTAGACCGACTGATTTCCGAAAAATACGCTCATTTACACGCACAAATGCATGTAGTTATGTTTGTAAGGATTATGTATGTTTATTTATAACATAATAGTTGTGATTTCACAAAATATTTATCGGTTTTATGCACAAATGAGTCGAAGGGAGCATTTATTGTTGAATATAGACATAGCCTCGTGTAGAATGGTATAATAACAATAATATTTGTTATTTAGTAATAATAATAAAGTCATAATATTTAATAGTAATAGTGAGAAGATGAAAGATAGCTTCCAGATGCAGTCAAAATAAACAACAACCAATAAGTTGTGTTGTATTGAAGCTATTTGGCATGAAAACGGATAATGATTTCTATGACAAAAAAGAGCATATGAAACGAACAAAAATATCTACCACTGTTTATTTTCCTTTTCCTTTACTTCACCGAATCAATCTGATGGTGCTATTGACTTCGTTTTTGTTATCATCATTATTATTATTCGTGTCATTACAAGTATGATCAATTTTGAAGGACAGTGGTCCAGCAAAACATGAATGTGATCATAACGAAATTGTGGCTGCTTCAAATACAGTCAGTGATCTATTGACGCATCGAAAAAATTCGGGAAGTTTCCTGAGAAGTTACTATTTATTAACTTACGCTTGCTCACAGGTGAGTAGAAATAATTCAAATATAATGCCTTGTTGTGGTAGTTGGAAATCGTTTGAGTGCTTTGATGCTATCGCATAAATTCGTTTCGTCTAATTCATATTCGTCCTCTAAGCAACACTTTACTGGTATCGCTGTTATTCATTCGTTCACTAATGATCTATTATATCAAAAAAATCGTCTTTGTAGGAAGGTCAAGATATCTTGAAGGAGCATCGTGAGTGTCTAACCGAAGAAAGGATAGGCGAAATGACGCTAAGTGCTGGAACATATCTTTCCGAGAAGTTTTTAGAGCATCCAGACGATGAAGTGAGCGCTTCCATTATATTCATATCATAGATTATACTCGTAACTAGTGTTCGTCGGGGAACGGGGTCCCCGTCGAGGACCCCGACGGGGAACGCGGGGAGCGCTCCCCCCGCGCAATTTGCTCCCCGACTTTTTTGCGGGGACCCCCCCGTCCAATTTACTCCCCGCGGGGACCCCCTCCCGCGCAATTTGCTCCCCAACTTTTTCGCGGGGACCCCCCCCCCGTGCAAAAAATTGCTCCCCGACGAACACTACTCGTAACTATATTAAGAGTAAAAATGTTGGTGAATGGTTGATCCAGATTCAGAAAATCAAAAGTCACTGCGTATTGTTACGAGCAATATGAAATAATTCTTCGAGTAAATTGATTGGCTTTAAGGTTTGTGATGAGGTGAATAAAAAGTTACAAGAATACATAAATGCCATGAAGGGAATATGCGATTCGGAAAGTGCACAGATGATAATGTGTAAGAGTTTGAGGAATATGTTCAAGGTGAGTTGATGAGTTATGACAGTAATTCATTGGTTTGCTTTTCTTTCTCATCGATAATCAAAACAATTCCACGATCGCTCTGTCCATCATAATGTCGTTATGATTATCGTGTTTTCAGGGGTTACATGCTGACAAGTTGCACAACTGTCAGTTCAATTGTGCAATTCCACAACGAGAGAGTGAACAAAGCGAAACCGAAGCAGCTGTCGAAGAAGTGGCCATACCTCAAGTGATATCTGATGAGCAGAATATGATACCCGAGAGTAATCCATTGAATTCGGCGAGTAACCACCACTCATACCTCTTCGTTACAATAGCAACGTTGATGGTGCAGCATTTGACAGTGTTTGTGATCGCTTCTTAAAAATCATTTCTACCAATAATAATTGATCATTATGATAATCCATTGCTAATATAATAACAACTCAATTAATCAGTGATTCAGTTGGCTTATCGGATTCAGTGCTACAGAAACTACCTACGGTTGTTCCACGTTAAGATGCGTCCTATTCATACATCTATTGAGAAGTCGTCATCAGGTCTCTTACACGATATAGGCATAAATTGAAGTTCAACTTGAAACGATTTACTCTCCGATGTAAGGTCACATTCTTCACAAAACCGAATTGCAGCAAAGGTCAATGAATCAAATTACTGTCAACAGTTCGAATAAATTCATTAGTTAGTCATAAGCCGCAAATAAACAAATCTTCATAGCTTAACTATCTTTCGTGTCTGCTGTGGATCTGGAGAAGAAATTTTAGCTTTTTTCCGCATCCATGCATGATTTCATCGAACATTTCGGATTCTGAAAGATTTTAAATCGAGAGAGACCATTTGATAAAAATTCTTATTCGAGCAAATTTAAAGAGAAATGTTAAGCGTGAGAGCGCATTTGTGTGTGGTCGACAACAATAAGCTTATATTTTTATGATGACAACAACAACGATGATAACAATAATAATAATAGTAATAATTAATAATAATAATTAATAATAATAATTACTAATAATAACAATAATAATCATAATAATAATTAATAATAATGATAATTAATAATAATAAATAGTAATAATAACAATAATAATTAACAGTAATAATCATAATAATAATAATAATTTACTACACTGCGCAGTAGTACGGACACTGCCCGCCCAATATCTTATCAGTCTTGTGCATATGTATTTTAATTCTTTGATTAGACTGTGCTACCGATTGATTTATTCAATTCATAAATGTTTGTAATTACTCATTATATATATTTATGCGTAAATTTATATATTCAATTCATTCACTGATTTCATCCGATTTTAAACATGTAAAAATTATTTATGTATTTGAATATCGAACCATTTTGATTTTCCTTGAAATCATTCCTTCACGAACTTTTTTAGTAAGTGTGCATGTGTGTAAGTAATAATTAGTGAGATAAGGGTTCTTTTTTATATTTTGTTTTGATGAATGTTTCGTAATATGTTACAATATGAAAGAAAAAGATCTCATGCTACCTCGGACAGACACCTCTCGTTTGTACGTGTAACTCAAGGTGTTGTTGAAATAATTCCTCACAAACTATGCGATATCAAACGATGTTAACGATACTGAAAAAGGCACTCTGGGAGGTGGCGAAACAGCAGTCATAAATCAAACAACGCCATTATTGGCAACACAAAAGCCTCTGTGAAAATCTTTTTATGAGCATTCTTGTTCTTACTTCAACAAACTTCTCTAATAACAGAAATATGAAGATATCGGGACTCGGACTTGTTATTCGAACACTGAGCGCTTTGTTTGCCGATCGCTGTGGGCAATCGGCAAAAAGTTCATCATTGCTCCGATTAGTTACTGGATTCGTATCCGGCTATGCTTAATTATGCCTACTATTTATGGCGACGGGCATCCATTATTGCTTGCTTGCGGAATGTTTAATACGCCCATTGTGATGGCGTATTGTTAAGTTTAATACGCTGACTTACTACTGTTGCTTGTTTCAAACAGTTACTCTGAGCATTGCACGCATGTTCAATCGGAGTGTATTTTCCAACTCATTTTTTGTCCCTCTCCCTAGAAATTATTGAGAATAGCCCCAAACCTCTGTACTCGCCAAATCAATAATCGAGGTAAGAATTTATGAGAAAGATGATTTCCGGCGCTGTTATCGTTAACTGCGCGGAGCGATGGATGTCAAGGAAGGAAGAACCTTAGTGATAGGAGAGAGTTATACGCTCGCAATGAGTTGTAATTGCTGATTAAATGAATAAATAAGATAACAGAATCATGCATCAAACCGTTAAATTCTCGGACAATCCATTTCTGATACGAATTCTGTCTTATTTTCAGTAGTGCATAAGAAAACATTCTACTAGTTCGTATCATTACCACAAATAAATCAATCTGCCAACCCCGTCAGTTTGATGATAACAATTTTCAAAGCGATAAGAGAAAAGATGTTCATGACATTGAAGTGGTAACGCCAACTCGTCTGGAATAATGAATTTAACAGCGCAGTGACACTCATTACATACAGAATAATTACAATGACTGTAAGTGCTAATTACAAGACAAGCCAGTATCATCTCGAAATGATTATATATCACATATGATATAAGAAATCTGGAACATCTAAGTAGAATCGTTAGAAACGCTCTAAAACGTTGGGTATTTAACAGAAATTCAAAAGAAAAAGTGGAACAAACTGGTGCGTATAGATTTTTCATCAGGCAATAATACAACCAAAAATGTGCAATATGATATAATATAATGGTATAACATCCTATTGAATTGTGCACGATTTCTTCTCGGGTGGCGGATAATACGCATACTGTTCAGTGGACGCAGCGGGTTGTTGTGGTGCTTGGGGATACGATCCTTGCTGGGCTATTGGGTTGGGATATGATGATTGCGGTGGAACAAATCCTGGATTATTCGGTTGACCGCCGTACGGTACTTGATAAGGTTGCTGATAAGCCATTGGTCCACTCTGAGCTGCTCCTGCTCCTCCACTATATGGTTGTGGCTGAGGATAAGCACTGATGTTTTGTTGTTGTTGGCCAATATTTGGATTTGGATAGATTGATCCCGATCCGGTATTAGTTGGATAGGGCGCTGTCAAAGGAGCACTACTCGAGAAATCACCGCTTGGATATGGAGCCGTTGAGGGCTGTTTTAGCGCTTCACAATATGGTGGTGGATTTGCACTCTGGAAACCAGTCATCTTCAATATACGAAGATGTGTCCCTTCTGCAGGCATTCCAGGTAATGGCTGATCGAAATCACCCCATAAATAAACATTCCCTATAAACAAACGGCATAAGGGATAACAAATCATCACTCAGTCATGGATAAACTTCACCTTTAAAACAACAACATCATTCAGCATTATATGCAAAGGCCACTGCATTAGTTTATGTTTCACCTTCCTCCCCAGTTTTTCTTGTAAGCGTTCTTCTGTGATCAGATTTGACAAAAGTTATTCCAAGAACACAACTTTAGAGTGAATTTCTACTGCTCAATTAAATCTGAAAAGAAGAAAAATGATAAGAACTGAAGTTGACGAACCAGAGTTCGTGGCCGTGAGCCGCGGTTCAATAAGAGGAATGGGCATTTGAGCTGGGATCTGCATCCAAGTGAAAGTCGACAAATTCAGCATCCAATAGTCGACGAGTCGTGTTACCGAATCACCATAATCTATTTCACCACCAGCCAATAAGATAAAACCTGTAACAGAAGCATTAATTCCTATGCATCAATATGAATACGAATAGCAATAACGAACAACGAAACATACCAGAAATCGAGTCAAGAGCAGCTTGCCGACGAGCACAAGGTGTCCCACGTTGTGGATCACCACCACATACTTGTGTACGAATTTCACTCTGACCAGTTATTGATAGAACATGAATTCTTGAATAGTCCAATTGACCATCTGGTGATGCAGATAACAAATAGATATTTCTAAATAAACGACAATCCGATTGAAGCGTCAGAGATTTAGAAACCTCGCAACCCAAAATTTCATTTTTAAAGAAAGGTAAAAGTAAAGACTACATGAACAACAACAAAAACGGAAATGAAGAATACAATCCGGAACCTACCCTTGACTAAGATATGCGTCATAGAAATGGTTGAGATCAGCGTTCGGCACTGCATAAGTGGATGTTGGTGAGGATGGCTGTGTTACAAGGCAATTGATACGCCAAACAGTTAAGCCTGGCGATGTGAGCACAACCACTTCAGGTGCATCTTCACGCATTGAAATAATGAAATCACCACTAATTGGGATCGAACTGGCCAGTAATGCGATTGGTTGTGTTTCCAAATTCATTCCATCTTGTCTCATATCAATTCTGTACAACATTAACTGAAACATACCAACTTGAACGGATCAATGAATAGGTAGTGCTTACATGCTTGCAAGTTACACAAAACCACTCATCAACCGATTTGATTCATTGAAAAAAAGTAGTCATTAGTCCTTCGACGAACTGAAAAAGGAACGTACAGCAGCTTGACCGTAATTTGCACTTTCGGTAACCATAACCAAAGAAGTGCCACCCTGAGGTGATGGACATTTTAATGCGAACAGAAACTTTGGAGTACCTGAAAAGAATTATTTCCAGTGCAAAACAGATACGTGTGAGAATTACAATCCAGTAGATGAAAACGGATGGGTGAAAGAGATTGGAATGTTGGAAAATACGAACCGAGAACGTTGACTGGTACATCAGTAATGAAGCAACGCAAATTTGTGTCGAAAACAACTATGCCTTGCGCGCCCTTGCGACCTCCGCTGGAATATGTGCGAAATTTCTCATCAGGAAGTTTGGAGTGAAAAAAAGGAATCAAACGAGAGTTGGTTAAAAATTAAAATCTGAAAAATTGAAATGAAAAAAGGTAGTAGTAAAATATACGAAGTTCCGGAAGATTCGTCTGCAACTGGATCGTAAAGGAAGAACAATTTCGATTTATCGTTACTTTCTTGAACATCTTGAAAGACAGCCATTCGCCAGCGTCCATTCTGAATATCCTGTGGATCTGGACTACGTCCCCACGGTACTGTTATATCCTCAGTATTGATTTGCATATTCGTACACTGTGCTGAAACATCACAGTTATGATGAATATCACTGTTATAACTTTAAATTCCATGGCATTATTACCACTCTCCGGATAAACTGATTCCTTGATAATAAGGCGTTGGCAAGTAATCGCGATAAAAATAAAATAACGGGTAATATTATGGTAACATTATGAATGGCGATAAAAATAAAATAACGGGTAATATTATGGTAACATTATGAATCGCGATAAAAATAACACCAACAGGTTAATATTATGAAGGAAAACAAATTAATAGATAAACAATCTTGAAATAACTTCTTGCGTACTCCAAATAAGAGTGCAAAACAATCAAATGAGATGTCGGAACACATTCGGTTTCACGGCAAACAATCTGATTTATCATTTACGGAAGAAAACCGGGTACTTGTGCTGTTTAGTCCCTCCACCCGTACGCAAGATCACGCGCGCGTGCGCGTAGCCACGCCCACCGGATAAGCCTAAGCCTAAGACTAAGCCTAAGCCTAAGCCTGATGCCGAAGTCAGCGTAACAGAATGGGTGTGGCCTAAAGCGCGTATGACAACGTGCGACGGTGTTGTTGAAAGCGCAAATGGTGTCTGCGTGCGGGTGGAGGGACTAAACAGCATAAGTGCCGAAAACCGGTGTGGTTCACAGGAAACTATTGGTGTCTCGTTTGGGAAAAAGTATTCGTTCATGGCACGTTGCAATTCATTGATAGCGGAAATAATAGCGGAAATAAGTGGGTGCTACTTTAGCTGAGGGGCTACACACAGATATCGCATACAGACACATCTTTTCGCGCGAGTGCGCTTGACTGAAGGAACAGTACAGAAGGAACGGGCAGAATGAATGGAATAATAGACGTAGAGCGAGCAAAAATATTATAGCTATTCCTGGATGATAATGTGAAAATGAAGTTATTACATTTCGTCGACGACTGCCAAAACGTGCGCCCTTAACGGAACTAAAATCTACCTTCGGGTTGAAAATCTTCACGAGCTAGCATGTTCTCCGAGAAATTCCAGTCCCCCAAGGATGTGAACACGCAAAGCCAGACGCCCAACCCCGGTTCCGAACCTGAGCAGAAACAACTCACTCACAGCCTAAACCGTTTTCTCATAACCGCATTCCATATTCGCGGAGAGTGTGTGCATCGCATGCCAACGTTGACAATATGTTGCATCACGTGTTTTGAATAGACATTTTTATCAGAACGAGCGATTTTACACTGACTTCACGTACATTTGATTCGTTCCTCGTTCATAGGTTTGAGCCTGGTACGAATGAATGAGATAGATATCTTATGCTTAGATTGGAATTTCATAAAGGGTGTGCATTTTTTAAAATTGAGTGGCTTTCAGTTGTTGCACGTCGCCTCGATTCTTCAGTCTGTTTTGAACTCTTTTCTGTCTTCAAATACTCTACCGATTGATTCTAATGGAAGAATTGCAATGCTTGGTTTTTGAGTTGAACAATGAGTTTTTTTTTGTAAACGATGCGGTTTCAGGAGGGGTATCGTTTGAAAAGCACGAGTGAATCGAGAAAAGGCATGCTGAAGAATATTTTGAGTGGTTGTTTTCGACAAGCATCTAGTGCCATCGTCCTTCGGCATACGCGTATCTTGTGCAGCATACCGAGTTGTGCATTTCAACGGTCCCTTAATATTTCAACATCATGCCTCCTACCCTCTTCATCATATTCCACTCCTTCAACAATGCAGGTTAATTTGATGATATAATGAATAAACAAATGTGGTCCTGCCTCTATTCGTAATACGAGTTCACTCTGTTGATGGCTCATCTCGAAGAAAAAGTTGATACATATGCGAAATCGCGAAAAAATCCGTGAGTTTGTGCACTGACCTGTTGTAGGCGACGATAACGTAAAGACTGATGTATCGACGTTTGGAAAAAAACCTCAACCTAAACCTTAGCCTGTAGAGGTGGCTTGAAGAGCTCCTCACCATCCCTCTTCCACACACACAAGCTCGGAAATTGTTGTGTTGTTTCATAAAAGCGCTAAATTAATTTATTAGTTTCCTTTTTTTCCTACATCCGCTAGCAGTCATTCATTTTATCCCCCTTTGATGGAGACAGGAGATCAGTTCGTCGTTTAAACAACTTGATAAAAACAAGCAGTATGTTTTAGATGTAATGCTCGAAACTTTTTTTGCAGATTCGACAGTACAGTGGAAAACCTCCGTTAACGTTGAAAACACTTGAAGAAAGAATCATGCTTGTGCTCAGTCTCTATGATAAGGTAGTCTACATTCTCAAATACATGTTTTCAACATTCCCGTACTCTATCATACACGCTTGTTCGTTTTCAAACGTTGTGTCCAGTTAATTCTGTCTTGTTTTTTTTTAAAACTGAGTCTGTGAATAGTGATAAAATAAAATGATGGCTTGAGTATTTGTCAAAACGTTTTCCATTCACATACTGATTAATTGATTTGCTTATTGTTCAGATCGATCCGAAACAGTTAACAATGGATTCGAAATTCTTCGAGGATTTAGGCTTAGATTCGTTGGATCATGTTGAAGTGATTATGGCATTAGAGGACGAATTCGGTTTCGAAATACCGGATGGTGATGCAGATAATTTGAAGACACCTCGAGACATCTATCAGTACATTTGTGATAAAGAAGATGTTTATGAATAGAATAGGCTGGTAGAAAAAATGAACTTTATGATTTGTTTTGTTATTACTGATATCATCATTATCGCTGTTATTTCTAACATCATGTTCATTTGAAATGTTTCTTTTGTTTCAATAAATCTCTCTCCTCTGTTCATTTCAGTTTGCTGCCGCTTTATTTATTTTCATTCCCTCATTTATGTAGAAGTAGTTTTTCAAATGGAGACAAAATGTACAACTGATTCGTTGATTGTTTGTCACATTCATCCAAAAAAAATTAAAGTTTGTTTAATGTTATGAATCCATAAATTTTTGCATTCTCTTCCGAAGAAACAACAGTGAATCTGACGAAAAATTGATTCGATTCAAAGAAGGTGTGTTCATGTATGTGTATGTGCTTTTCTTGTTACATTTTCTTGAGAGATTTTCACTTTATTCTATCATATTCAATCGACTGGAGTTGATTTTGTTCGTTTGTTTCTCATAGAATAGCGAAGAAATTGTAATTAATTGATTACTCGTAATTATTATCGATTATGATGATGGAGATGATGGCGTTGTGTGCTCATTGTCGGTTTCCATTTTCTGTTTATGATAAATATTTGTAGAGAGAATAAAATATGAATTTAGTACGAACACATTCGTTTAATACCATTATTTTTTTGTCTGATTCACTTCATCTTCTTTTCGTATTTTTTCCATTTCAATCAGTGGCATTCCTTGCTGATTTTATACACTTTCAAAATAAACGCTGCAAATGCATTATCCGCTCATGTAGAAAAGTACATATGTTAATTAGATATGTGAAACGATAAAACGAGAGGTCTATTGCGAACTGTGCTAATGACTCGTAACGAACATGCTATTTCAAGCGTTATAAAGGTAAACGTGAAACGGATAGAATAATCTTTCTATTCGAGTTTTCTAGATTTGATGATTCGTTGTTGAGGTTAATGCTTTTTTTTCATCGCCAATTAACGAGGTCCATACAATTGTTCTTTCAAGAACAGTTTTACTTACTTGAATTAGATTTCTTGCAGCCATTTCAGTTGCAAATTGAAATTTCAAAAATTCGATTAAACGTCAAAATTTCAAACAAGTTTTCGTTTGTTCAGTATTCACGAATTTGATTGCCATACATGCGAAGAATACATATGATTGATCGAACATCCATCGAGTTATTATCGCACAACGCTGATGAATGGTTATGCGAATATTGCTCTCCCTCAAATATGCCCACAATTTGTTCGCTACAAGGCGATTGCTTGCAATGAATCGATGTCTAATGGGAGGATAGAATATTTTACGAATGATCGATTAAAGTACCCAAATAAAATCATTCATTCGCATCAATAATGAGAATCAAACATTCAAAACACCTTGCAGTGTCATCACGGACATCTTTCATTGCTCAGCTCAGTGCACGTTTCTTGAGTCTTCGCTATTGTAGGATTTCTTATAGTTGTAGTAATCCTTGATTGATCTGACGAAGTGAATAACTTTTTTGTGTATTGATGACCTTATTTTACACATAATACTGTATCATCGGGGACTGATATACAAATCCGATCTTTGAAAGTCCTGTGGGTCTGCTACAAAGTTTATTCTCTGTATAACTTTAATTCCGAATGTTCGGCTAAAAACATCAAGTCACGAACTGAAGGCCCTAATGTTAATATTCCAGACTTGTTGAATTCTATCGTATACTCACCCTCAACTATTGTATTTTTGCGTGAGTTAATTCCAATGTTCATAATATCAATACATCAACTGAAATCATCGTTATGAAGATACCGCTGCAGACTTCATCATTTCGAATACAACAGTGGACCAACTGGATGCACTAGTCTTATGGATAAACTTTAGAAGCTTTGAATGAGCCTCAACAATCTTCAATCAGACCGAAATTTTACACGAATGTTCGTTCCCCTTCCATTGGTAGGTGGCTAAATACGGCAAACTGCTTACTTTCAATACGTTTGTGGATCATTCCATCACTCAATAATCACGAATGTTATTAAATCAAGCTAAAAAAGCAATTCAATCTCCTATATTTAATCAACTGAAAAGTAGTCAGCCCACTGCATGGGTAATATTGCTGCTCCTCCAACAGCAGCAATTGATCCAAGTATTTCAGATTGATTCGAAGAGCCGGTAAACGACTCTTAATCTGTCTTATATCCAAATGCATACATCGTATCTGTATTCTTCTTCAATTCCAAACGGCCATTTTCAAAGATAATGGTAAGCCGTTCTATTGGCCTGTCAGACGGCCAGCCAGTCGTTTTATCGCTACTATATATAGGTCATCATTTTATCTTTTTGCTCAATTTTACTCATATTATCATTATATTGTTATAAAATTAGCATTATTATTGTTGTGATATGTACATATATTATTTGATTTCACGAACACTTCGTTATCAGAAAATAACTTTGAGAATAAGGTTGACTATATTCGATTTCAGAAAGAGGGAATTATCTTGTTTTCTGATCTGAAATTAATATAATACTTTGTGAACGTGAATAATTCCAAAGTTCATTTTCAACAACTTTTATTCTCATCAATTTTGCTGACAACAGTTAATTCATGATCACAATCAGCGAGTTTCTCCAGAAAATTCATTCTCCTTCTATTGATCTTTCTTCATTATTTTGTTTATGTTAGTGTGTTTGATGGTCAACGATCCCATCTAATAGATGTTTATTTATTGTTTGTAAGCCATAAAAATCTGTTCTTACGAATAAAATTAAGCAGACAATAAATTTCATTGTTATGCACTCACAATCAATCTATCTTCATTGACATGTATGTAACTGGATGGTAAATTATTAAACAGTGTCAATTCAAGGTTTAAGCCAAGCGATATCGAGTCATTTTTAGTTTCCTGCTAGTAAAACGATCATTCATTTGATAACTTGATTGTTTATCAGTTTGACAAACACTACATTTGCTGATATCGTGATGATCATCAGTATTATTGTCACCGTTATTGTCATTCTCTTATCAGCTGATTATCACTTCGAAAGTAATGGCAATTTTCCAGTTAGCAAGATTATGATTTATCATTTCCCTCGTTCATTTCCTCAACTTTTTGCGTGTCTTATCTTATATTTGAGTGATCCTGCTGCTGATAGATTATTCGATATTGTTCTTTCATTAATTCATCGAGCTTAAGCGATAGATATGAGATGAAGTTATCTCGTCTTGTCTTGGTTGACAGCAATCATCGATAGCCAGCCAACTATATGAACCAAATAAGCTGGAATAGTGGAAAAGATTCGCTTCCATACATTTACATAGTACCTATCCGCCGCTGCTTCATTCACGCTTCGTAGCACATCTTTCCGTTTATCATTTATGAATATGTATTTACATAATATGTACGCACGAGATATGTCTTACATTCATGCAAAGAAGGAAGGCGTATCTTCGAGAAAATAGGACAAAAAGACAAAGATGAACAGAGGTGAACAGCATCCAGTAAGCTAGTGATTAGAATAAGATCAAGAGTAGTCAAATAGGGGGACATCACCAGCAGCAGCGACAGCATTAGCATCAACACTCATCATCGAGCAATAATTCGATGTGACTCTTGCTCTAAACGATTCGGAAGCATAAGTAGTAGTTTATGAGAACGGAATTAGTATAGTGACTTACATATGTGCTAAGCAGTATGAAACTAACACCTTAAGTTGCCTCTCCTAGAGGAATTGCTGCAAAAATATTTTGAGGAAACACTACAATTACCGGTACGTTATTTCAGGATTTTCATTTTTCATTTCATTCACTCAGTTTTGCTGTTATATGAACATATGGACAGTTTGTTTTTTTTTGTCACACTTTGAGAAGAGTTATTTATTTGCCTTTTCGTTTCGTGGTCATGTTAAACTATGGTTATTTGTTGGACTATACGTTGGTATTGAGTTATATCCTGGATTTTTCGGAAGGTGCGTTTCTTCGCCGTGTTTGAATAAATGAGACTTTCCTCAGTGACACTGAGAACGGTCGTGTGTGGCCAATAGGCTAGATGTCATGCTACTGTTATTAATACCGCATTCGCTCCAATTAGCTGGTGTCAGCAACTTTGAAAAAAATTGAAGCATGAAGGGTTTCATGAGAAAATGCTTAATCTTCATGGTGTAATTCTGTTGTGCGAACGAAAAGAGGAAGGCAACATTTTCGTGAACATATAATCATAATGTTGATGTTGCTGAACGATTGAGTTAACGAACACTCTTTTAAAGTAGCATTTAGTAGTACATTGGTCATCAAAGCCTAAATATTGGTAGCAATAGTATTAGTTACAGTAATGATGATGTGTGGTTAATGTTCGGTAAAGATCATAGCAAATTATTGTCGTTTCTTTTGATGTGAACCGATTGAACGTTGGTTGTTGTTGTTAGGCTTGTATTGTGTGTCTTCAGGGTGGTATCATTATTAGGATTACTATTATTATTGTAGTATTTGGTTGAGAGGGATCGTTGTGTACTAAGAAATGCAGCTTGTTCTCTGGGTGAGGTGTCTGTGTCGCGCACACTTCAGTTGCTGGCTGCGTGAATTTATTTCTTTCATCTTGCCGCATCGCACCATACTAATTGACTCATCTGCAAATCACGAGCGATCTTAATTATACTATAACAAATAAATATGATCGACTTAAACATAGAATGTGATCGCTCGATGAGAATGATGAATTCTTAAGATAAGTTCATTCAAATTCACTTTACAACTACAAATACATCATACAACTTTTCTCTTTCGACTTCAGAAAAAGTTCAGACAGATTTTTCACCATATCCAGTATCCTTTTAAGGCATAAGGCTAGATATCTACCTATCATTGTAAGAAATCGAAATCTATCCTTTGAGGTGACATTTTTGAACAAGACGATCATAGAATGGTTGAAGAATATCTTCTCGGATTTGTTGAATGTTCATTTACAATTAAGTATGATTGTAATTTAGTTTAGTTAAGTTAGTTGTTGACAGTTAAGAATTTTTTATTGATTTCTCCCAGCAACTCATTTTTAACTCATGTTCGTTATCAGCGTTGTTCTATCGATCTTTACTAGCAAGCACACGCCTCTTCTCTATCTTCAAGTGCTCTTCTCATGCATTCACCAAACCAATGCGCTAATTAGTTACGCGATTGAAAAGCGCTAATAATCGCATTTCACGTAGGTTTGTACGAAAATAATCTTCGAGAGAATTGAATGAAATCTTTCAATAATGAAGTAACTAATTATTGCAGTCGGTCGGTGTGACTAGAGTTTTTCTTATTATTATTATTACTGAATGAGAATTATAGCAAATAGTTATAGCGTATTCAAATAGCATAGTAGTAGTTAGTTGAAGAAATAGATGAGAGCTTAACGCATTATGTGTTCCAAACATATCAGTCTGTATAATGATGATGGCTTTAGAGTTGTTGTTCGTGCTCATATAGGATAGTTGATAGCTCTAGAGCTATGGCTATATATAGCCATGGATGATGTAAGTAATATTAGAAAAAGCGTTAAGCAGCAGTAGCAGCACGCAATTACTCGGCACTTGGTTTGGCTTGGTGTCGTTAGGCACGTTTATGTTATACGTTATGCTGTTTGCCGTATAAGATAGGCGTTAGCAATAGAATTCAAGTGAACAGTTTTGAGAGAACGAGATGAAGAAGAAGATGAAGATGCGGAAGAAAGGAGGAGAAGGTTTTTCGATGAAAAATTAATTTTGAAATTATCCAGTTTTTGTGTGTGTGCGTGCGTGACTAGAAAAGCGATGATCTGACTGTTATTCATTTGTTGAATCCATCTCTTAGAATTAGAATACTCTGCCAACTACAGTTGTAGTCGTACGGATGAATCTCTTGAGAGGTTGTTGTTGACATTTTGATTTGAAACATTATCGGATGTTGGGGAGGGATCAATATCCAGAGCTTGAGCGTTAATGTAAGCCTAAGACTGAGAGCAAATGTAAACTTAAGCTTGATAGTTGTCCACACTTTTCTACTCCCACATTGGTAATACCGCTCAGTTAGTCACATGTCAATAAGCAAGTCAGTAATGTCTATAGGCATGTACTAACTGTATCCTTCACTATCCCACCAAAATTACATGTCATTCCATATCGTGTCTGACCACTCCCCTTACTTCCAACTTTTTGATTGCAGAGCATCTTTATTTTTTCATAGAACGTCCTCGTTTCTTTTGCCAATCACTGTCGTACTTATTCGTTTTTTTTTTTCAATTGAATAGCAGTTATTTTAAGTTCGTTTACATCAGCCTCATTGTACGCTACTAGCTGGTAATTTTACAAGAACAGCAACAAAATTCATCACGCTTATAAATGCGACAGGCAGCGAATGCAAAAGAGGAAATTAACGAACGAACGAACTAAAGGAACTGAGCATATTTGATGAATTGAGTAATTGGGGTATTGGTGATAGAGGAGATTTATTTGATAATTTATCTGAATAATAATATTAATAATCAAGAAAACTGATGAACAATGAATTATTGGCATCTGCTCATATGCTGCCATTATCAGGTTCGTTGTTATTAATTTATATTTGCATTGATTCGTTTAAATAATATTTTATTCAGTCAACATTGTCATTCTTTTTATTTCTTTACTCATTCATTATGTCTTCTTGTTTTTATCGACAATAATAGATTGACTTGATATACTGACGAGGTTATGAGCATTATTCAATTGTCAAGGTCAACTTCTTCCATTATTAATTCATTTGAGTTCGATTATTTACTCATTTGAGTCTTTCTTCCATTCGTTTACTCATGACATCGTCACATAAGCCCTTTTCTGTACTGAAAATCAGACTAGCTGATCAGTGATGTTCCACTTGACTTTATCAAACGGAGCAACTCGGCGAGCTGGTATTTTTGTTGATGTTGATATTTCTTCGAAGTTGTTATTTACATACAGATATGCTTATAAATAAATATGTGACTTAATAAATGCGATTAGAAAGAATTATTGTTGAAAGTAAATGTTTCGTTATTTTTTTGACTAATTGATCAGTAATGTTAAAGTTGAGAGGAGGAGACAAGTGAGTGAATTTGGTTTTGATCATTGTTCGACAATCAGTCATTATTACCATATGTGAACAACAACTGATTTGGTGTACCATACGGTCACCGTCATATTTGAACGAACGGTGATATTAACGATAGATGAATATATTTTTAGAGAGATGAAGCTATAGATATGAATTTGTTGCTGCTGCTATTGTTGCAAACGCATATTGCTCAATCTTTCTCAAAAGTTTAAGAACATTTTCTTCGCTCTACATAATACACTTCTTCATCTTTATGTTTTTTTCGTTATTTCCATCATTCACCAACGAAATATTTCAAATCAAGAAGTAATTAAGTTCAGTGTGTTTAATGGATAATCACACTAATGACACCATTGATAATGATAATGTGATTGATTACAAAATCAACGATAGTGTGAGTGTATTATAATGTTCCATAGTAATACTGTTAATAGTAAATATATATGAGTTCACACCTTTCTAACAACTTAATGAATTGTATGTGATGGAAAGATCATCAGTAATTGATGGTACTGCTTATTACTAGAAAGATCAACAATAATTTATAACAGCCAATAACTTACTTCTTTTTTGATTACATTCTTGCGATAATGATAATATAGTAATACAAGTGATAATGGTATGAATAATGGATAAAATAATTCTAATGACAATGTTTAAGAAAAATGATAGCAGTAACATTGATAATAATATCGATAAAAATAGTCTTAAAAATGAATATCGATAAAAAATAATAGTTATAAAAATAATCTATAATTTTGTATCGTTATAGGACAAATATTTTTAATTGCCTTCTCATCAAAATTCATTAATTAATATATTCGTTCTTTCAATTCACTTCCAAAATCATCACCATAATGCTCATCATAATTTTCTATCCATCAGTCATCTTTCCATTCTATCCATGCATCATCCATCTATCTTCTTCTGATTATTCACTGCTTCCTAGCTGTTCCTCCTGCTGTTGCTACTGCTGTTGCTCGCTGCCGATTGATTCCCCTTGAGACTTGCCATCTATCTCTTTAATAACAGTTGAAAATTGTCATCTAAATGAGAAAATGAATGAATGCGCGAACGTTATTTGGACAAAAGCAGTTGAAGTCACAATCACATTTATAGATATCATATCATCATCTATACTGTGCTCATGTACGGAAACATGCACATTACATTGTTTTCGCATCACTTCTTGTTTAGTGAAGAGACACAGTAATAGGAAATGCTAAAAGGTGGTAAGATGTGCTAAGCATACTTAGTGTGCATTATTGGATTATTCTTTAAAGGTATCATAACATGGTGATAAGCATTTTAGGATGTTGCGGATGTAGAAGATAATAAAATAAGCGACAAAAACACAGTCGTTTTTACTATTCGAATTGATTGAAGTTTTTTGATGAATAACTTTAACCATTTTAAGTAAGGTTGAGCGGAATGTATTTGTTCCGATGATCGGTTGAATTGAATTGATTCTGAATGAGGCAATTAGTACCTATCGTTGCGGTGAGATGAAAGAATTTCATTCGTATTATGCTATTAGAATTAGAATGGTCATTTGAAAAATACCGACTGCGCTCACCCCATCAGCTTCAAATCATCTCTTTTTAAAGCTCCGCTTTTACTTGCTGTTATACACCATTAGTCAAACACTGATTGATCAATTCATTAGCATCATTACTGTTATTAGTATTATTATTATCATTGTTGTTGTCACTCTTGCTTCCATATTTGCTAATAATAATAATAATAATAATATTAATATTAACAGCAACACTAGTAATAACAATAATAATACTGACAACAAGTTCAAGTTGCTGCTGGTTGAAGAGGTTTACCGCTCACTTAATCAAATCATTTCAACCAGTTGTAAATTAGTCAACAAATAGCGACACCATCACCAACAACAACAATACCAATAATATCAACCGCAGTGCTAGCAATACTACGAACACTACTACTAATAATAACAGTGACAATAATGTCTGCAGAATCAGCTAGTCAAATTGCATCGCGTCAAATATTCAGCTATTCTGAATTTCCCATAGCAATAATAATAACAACTAGCAACAGCAAAGTAATTCCCAAAACGATGATCTCTCATGGACACGTCGAGTGTAACACACAAAACATAACACGAACAAGTCCATCATTTGCTTGTAAGTGCTGTTTAGTTTTAGTAATATATCTGATCGTAGTGGAAACGTCAGTGATGTCGTTTCAATTCATTCTTACTGTTCCGAGAAAATACTATGAATGGTGGCTATATGCTCTCATATTTTGATTGCGTAATATTTGATCATCTTTCCAAGCGTGAATCTGATGTGAGACTTAGCCGAAACAGTTTAAGCCCAACTCGTCAGGTTGAGTTGGAGCGTTAGCCTGGGTATGAGTCTGATCCATTAAGGTAATCAAATGTTTGCATCAAATGATTTGGGACATGTATTCATCAAGTAATAGGTATGGATTTAAGGATGGCGGTTATCCGTCTGTATGTGTGTAAATCTAAAACATCCACACTCAGCCAGCAATCCTATTTATCTATATCGGGGAGATAATTGCATTGCTGCTTTTGGTTCGTCGGAATTCTTATTGTAAAGACAAACGGAATAGATGTTTTGTGTTATTGTTATTTACATCATTATTATTATTACAAACATTAATGATGTTGATAATATTGTACCTTATTAATATTAGCATTTATTTGTACATGGTGATCAGTACTGTTGTTATTGGAATCGAATCGGGTGAATGAGTGAAGACTTAAATATTACCATTTAAGGTCAATGAATATGAGGAGGTAAAAATGGATGATGAACAATTGACATGTGTTGGAACGCAAACTGATCCGGTTACATCGGACGAAGAAGAAGAGGAAGGTGGTAACCATCTAAGGTATGTTCGTATCATGCGCTAAGAAAAAAGGTTCAGTTATTTCAGGTCAATTCACTAAATTTCCAAGGAATATCTTAAAAAAGAAACAAAAAAATGAAGAAGATTACACTGAAGCGTGAACGGCGACTGCTGAGGTTTTTCTTCAGACGGCGAGTCATTAAATAGAACTATTGTTGCAATAGTTGAATAGCAATAATTGGCTTGTGATCACAAAAATAATTAATGACTTCAAGTAGCGTTTGTGTTTTGTATGCATTGCATCCGTTCATTCGCTCGTCATTACACGCACACTAACAACACACCAATCGTCTTATCCTCTTCGTAACTTAGCTTACATAACATCAGTGATTGAATGAGAACTGCTATGAGTAGATGAAGAAAAGAGCAGATGATGTATCTTATCAAAGATACTTGACTCCAGCACTTCGATATACTTACTGGTATATTTGTATAAGACCAATCTGGTTTTCCCAATACTAATGATCGATCGTGATTTATTCATTTTTCATCTACTAATGTTTTGTTTTTTCATTAAAAAATAGCGATTTGTTAAGTATTTGTTGTTTTATTGATATTATAGTAATAATTCTAATTATGCGTTTAGTACACGTTCTCTTTATACGATATGGTAGTTTTATCACTTTATTAAGGTCATTGTTCAATGATTCAGGCTCTAATCATAGCGCGGAGCCGTTTTTTTTTGTTACTATTTTAAGATAAGTTAAGTTAATGTTATTATTGGCTGCAATCAAGTCGATCGTTCCCTTTCATGCTGTGCAATAATCATTGTCTTATTCGCATCAGCAGTATGATTAGGCTTTGATTGGCCAAGTGGATAACAAGCCGATAACTAAATACCTATGAGTATATACATAGGTATTTAGTTATTCATATTGGACATATATTATTCCATGTGCACAAGTTCCATCCTTAAATCTTGTTCGTTGCGGACAAGTGCAACGAAACTTAACACCAATCTGATGACAACATTTCGTTCTGATCTCTTGATAGTGCTCATATTCTTCGATAATTTTGACAGTGTTCTTTTGTTGTTGGTGGTGTTGTTGATGTGTTCAATTGAATTGAATGAATAATAAAGTTTCTCGAAAGGATTCAGAGCCTGAAAATAAGCAACTTTTGATGTCAAATACCTGTTTTCATTTCAGTGATCACATGGACGAAGTATATATTGATGATGGTGATTGTGAACTGAATGCACTCGAATACGAGGTGAGTGATTCGTTATTATTATTATTATTATTATTATTATTATTATTATTATTATTATTATTGTTAATATTATTAACATCAATATTATCCATAATATTCTTAATATTATTATTAACATTATTATTAATATTTTTATTATTATTCTTATCGTATTTTCATGCAAATCATCATCGACTAAAGCCACATCAAAATTTTAAGTGATTGCTTTTTCGCACATTTAAATAAGACATTTAACGATTGTCTATCACTTCATTCTAACTCGTTCACTGTCAGTCGTATTTAATAGTGGTGATGATAACGACAGTGATAATGATATTTGCAAAGTTTTGTTGTAAACACTTTGTGCTAACAGGTGTGCTAACGCCGATCACTAACTAAGCCGTTATTTTGTTGTTTTTGATCGATCGCATTCCACTGAGCTGCTGCTATTGCTACTGCTACTGCTACTGCTGCAATTCATTGCTCATTTAATGTCACCGGTAGCTATAAAAGCTGTGAATAGCATTTGGAAAATAGCCGTCTCAATGATACTAGCTTATCCGTCAATCTTCCACTTGCTATTGATGTCTCTTAACTTTCAAAGCATTCCAAACTCAAGCTCAAACCATCAGAAGTTCAAATTACATTCAGTGATTAGAGAAACGTACTTATATGAAGATTATCGCTGTTGTTGTTTCAGGAAGTGGTTTTGAAACGCTCAAGTAGCTGTCATCGATTGGGATTAACATTATGTTATGGTGCAACAGATGATAATGATACAGATATTTTTATTAGTGAGGTACACTGAATTATGATACTTTAGCTTTTATACATAGCACTTCGAAAACACTTAAGAATGATGAATACATGCCGGTAAAGATGATGTTAGAAAATAGAATAATTGCTTCTTCATCTGATCATCGTCAAATGGAATGATCTTAGTGATTAATATAGCTCCCATTTCATTTCCCGAACTAATTCAGCTCATAAGTACTATTGTTAATCAAAATAAGTGATTGTCTCGAACATCTATAATATCATCTTAAAGTAGCCTATGAATAAATATACAAATGTTATGTGCTGTTTGTCACTTATTATTGATTATTTGAACAATGATATGACTAATATAAGATATCATCTAACGGATCCAACCAGCCGACTAGATTTGATAAAGACAAATTGTAAGTGAAGATCCATAAATGATTGAATAATAGTGTATGGGATATGAAAGTACAGTTGAATGGGATATGTTGATTAATGATTATTCGAGAATTTGATTGAGTGACGCACGAGTAAAATATGTCGGAAATAAGGAAAGATCACTCTGAGATAATCAGACATTCTCGAAACGATTCGTTTAGTTGCCAGTTGTTGGTAAATTGTGATATAATGCAATTTGACGCGATGTGAACAAGTAATCTAGCTGATTAAAGGGTAGTTATACTAACAGTGAGGACGGTGATACTAGTGGTGATAATAATGATAGATGATTTATGTAATCAATGCAAGTCTACATATACAATGGTGTCTTGATACATTATGCACGTTATTTGAGCATCATAACTAGAGCTGGCTTTACAATGAATATTATGAGACCATTGCCTACATATCATCATCCGTTCTTGTCTCAAAACGCTTTAGGAGGCAGCGAGATCCTAGTATTAGTAATGAAAGCGGTCAGTCCGTCGAGTGGTTATTGTTTATAACATTGGATAGATTTATCCGTTTGCATCCATCCATCTTCAATGATTCAGTGATATAAGTCGGTCAGTCCATCCATCCATCGACCCATCCATCCAACCATATGATCAGACCTTAAATTGATGCAGCTAAGAGATCTATCTAGTTAACATTCTATGAATGAATGCATAGAGCATACTTTGTTTGTTATTTTTGCATTCGCATATTATCGTTCATTATCACTTCTTATCGCATGACTGTGTTTTTTTTTCGAATTTATTATTGATAATCGATCACAATCTTGATCAATTTCTATTCTTATTCATTCTTCGTTTCAAAATGCACATTATTCGCAGATTGAAGCTGGTAGTATAGCTGACCGTGATGGCCGTTTACGTCCTGGTGATCAAATTCTTCAAGTATGTCTGTTGTTTTCTCCTCTAAAATTACATTTTCTTCTCTTAATTCATCTATTTTTTCCGATTCATTTATTCATTCATTTTTCCAATTGTGCTGAAGAGAATGATAACTTTGGAGCACTGATTTGAACTTTTTGTATTTCTTCTATTATTTTGTGAAAAATTCTCACCTTCTTGAGCAAAGTGTGGATTCAAAAGTGAACAAAAAATTTTTACTTGTTAACTGAAATTAATCACTTCGTTCATTCATTATTATTAAGCACTGAACTGTGAGGCGAGCTACAAAGTCATCATAGCAATAAATCAATAATCAGCTACAAATTGACGCTTCAAGAAAATGATACATTTGTGTTTAAGAAGTTTGTTTAGGCAGAGAATTGCAAGTGATTCATGGCACTAAGTGAATTCATCCAATCTTAACAGTACCATCACTAAAACCTAAAGTAGCAGCTCAGCTAATCATCATTATCCACAGCATTTTCATCATTAAACTGCGGAAAAATTCACTCAATAATTGAATTGAGTGGAGATTAATTAATAACAAATAATCAATTATGATGAAAAACAGCTCTAACAATTTCAGGTCAACGGTGAACCAATTCATAGTCGTCTGGATGCAATAGAGCAATTTCGTTCGAATCGATGTGAAATTATGATTTTATTAGCACGAACCGCGCAAGTATGTTCATTATAAATTGCTTCTTTTTCTTCATTATCATAATGAAGAAATGAATATATACACAAATAAAAGAATGAATATTTGTTTATGAAAGAGCTATTAATTAATATTTGCATAGAATAATCTGCATATAATTATGTTAGGTAAGGAAATCAATTCACAAAACACTCCTTCATATTTGTTTGTTTGTAGTAGAATAAACATAGGTGAATGGGGTGTGAAGACGAGAACAATTTCGGTTGTCTCAGAACAAACGTATATGTTGTCTTGTAGAGATCACGATGAAATAGGCATTCAATGAGTGAAGAACATGCTCTTATAATAGAATATGATTAATCTGATTTTCATATGTGAGTGATATTCGTATTAGGCTTATGTTTATGCTTCTTCTACTTCATCAGCAGTTATAATCATAACGATCTTCGGTCGATTCATTCATTATTCATCACAAAATCATTATTTAACATCAGTAGTAACAACCACAACAACACCAGTCGTCCATCACTCAGCAATATGTATCTTCTTTTCGTATCATATCATATATCCATCTATCTATCCATTCATCCACCCATCCTTGTATCATATCTCCGTCCTTCTTGCTAATCCCATTTGTATATCCGATATCAGTTGTCCTTTCGTTATCTTTGCATAAACACAGCCTGCAACAACTCTTACGTTTTATATATCACGACCGCTCTAACCGTTATTGGTGTTACGCACGAATGATTATTGGCCATAATCTTTAAGAATAATTTTTTTGTGTGGGTAATTTGAACTCAGCATTTATCAATCATAAAAATTCATCATTTTCGACTACAAACTGTGGATTTGTGATCACGGTAAATTGGCTCACAATACGATTGTAAGCTCTGAGATGAATGAATGATATTAAAACAATTATGGTATTAGTGACGACAGCTATAGGCTGATCAACAACTGTAAACGAACGAATAAACTTAAGTTTGCCTTAAGTAATAGCAGTGACAATAGTGATGATAATAGTAAATAAGTTGACTACGTGTTAATTATCTCATTATTGACGCTAACGCCCTCAATCGTTAAGATATTCAAATGAAATTTATTTTCAAAAACGACGAAAATTTTGTAGATGAAAATTTTTATACGAACCCAACCAATGATAACGACCGAAGCAATAAGCGAAGCAGGAAAACGCTTAGATAGACAATTTTCGCTGAACTAATGATATGCGAATATTATTGTTATTATTGCTCTTTTTAACAATCACCATTTAAAATTCACTTCTTTGCATTGTTTATTCAAAAAAATCCCAACAAACAACTATCTGTGCTATTCCTACCATTAATACTATTACTGTTATATTTAATTTTTGTTTCTTCATTCATATGAGTAGCAAAACGATAACGGTAGCTATCCCGTTATTTTTAGCTGTACCTGTTTGCATTTCCCAAATTTCATTCCCAATCTTGTGTTCGATTTCCATTTCGGTGATTGTAAAGTATCGGCTTCTCAAACTGGCAACGATCTTAGCTGAACTGGGCAGTTGGTCGCCTGAGAACATTAACGATCACTAATGTAATATTTTATCGACATTACTGAAATGAATTTAGCTTGTTGACGACGATGAATGTTATGATTTGAATATGACTTCGGATCGTCGTAGCACTGGTGACGTTTGTTCAGTTGGATTGCTCGCTGAATCGTCAACAGTAATGCGTAATGATGATCGAGGCACGTTTACGGACGCAAATTCGGTCAATTCATCCGCATTTGAGAAGGTTTTTTGCCTACTGCTTAGCTCATTTTAAGTCAAAAAATACTTTCCTCGCTTTTTTCGTGGTTTATTTTTCACCAGAAATTGCTTTTAATCTTACTTTTTATTTTTATTTTATAGGATTCTGGTGTTTCACGAATGACCGATTCGGATGCAGAAATACTACCACCACTGTCCGGAAGCAGCAAAGCAACAGTAATACCGTCGTCTTCATTGCAACAACAACAGATTTGCAGTAGTTTATATAACAACAACGGTAATAAAAACTATGTGGAAGAAGATATGTTCTTAATAAATTCGAGTAATGATCGAAAACTTCGACGGTAATTTTTCAGTCCCATTTATGTTTATTTCAAAATCACGTCTGCTCTAACATAAGGGCATCTGTATACATTGACCGTATGGGAAATGAAGAGTGATTGTGTTGCAGATGCGAAAGCGATGCATCATTGGAACGTGAGCTGGCATCACTTCATCGTGAAATGGAGACAATTCGGATAGAGTGTGATCGCCTCATCTCGAAACATAATAGCGCTGAAAAACGCGTTGCTCAACAGGTTCAACCAATTTGCTTCATTTATGGTGTTTCATTCTTCACGAATTCTGGTTTTTTCTCTTTGCAAAAATTAAATGAATTGCAGTCGATCGATTGATTGAATGATACAATGCTTAATCGTTAGCACAATTAGTATTTTTGCAGTGCTCAATCATATTAACATATCAGTAATGAATGATACAATTTCGGAATAATTCACTAATTGTAAGACCAACACTAGTTAATTAATTATAGCGATTCTTATAATCTCATCACCATTTTCTGATAGTTAATTGAACAACAACCAACAACTGCAGCAGCTGTTTAAATCGATAAACAACATAATTATGCAGGCAACTATTAATGCGAAATCGGTTTAATTAAGGTTGCAAAAGCGAATTCTTTAATGAACACAATTGGAGAATTGAGTTGTAAAGGTGACTCACAACGTCGAGTTGACGAGACTTCGACAAGTGCATACAATACAGGTGGTGAGTCTTGTCGAAGTACACCGCTCAAGTCCGATTACACACGTCCTCAAAGCAGGTTAATTGCAGCTGAATATCTCATTTCGTCAACGGAGTCATGTGTTTCTTCGTTTCGCAACAATATTTCAAAAACATTTAATAGCATTATACAATCGTTCTTCAAATAATTCCAGCAGAAATCCGACAATTCAAATAACTCACGTACCCACAGAGCCTGTATATCATCAGTTAGACGAAGTAAAACCAGCAGCAACAACAACAACGATGATTCCAAGCTATGAAACCCTTTCACGACAAATGCCATCTACCTCTCAGCCGTCTCACGTCAAATTCAGGTTGTTTGAATGTGCCTGTTCCTGATAATTTGAATTGTTCGTATCGATTCCTAAATGGCACAACCAAACAAATAAATAAATATCAGTATAAATTCCCAAGTTATCAAAAAAGTTTGCACAAATATCAGAACTGTGATTACGGATGCTTTGAACTGTTGTATTTTTTGAAGCATGGAATTGAAAGTAGTTCGTTCAGATTACCACAATATTCTGTTGTTCTGCGTGAACCAACATCGATTTGCAAGAAGAGTAGTGCCGTTCTTACTGGCACAACAACAGCAACAACGGCAGTATCGAATTTAGCAAAAAAAGAGAACTGCGCTTCTTCACATGCTGCCTGGTACTGTGACACTTATTCACAATAAAAACTGATTTAATCAAATAAACGGGCATTGTACTCCTTATTGTCTCGAAGAGCACGAAGCGTCTGTTCAAATATAAAATTTAAAAAAGTTGCAGCTATAAGCCTGGTGATACGATGTATACTTCACCCGAGAAATTAGCTGAAACAATAGCCCTTCAACAGAGACTTCTGCGACAAGCTATGATCGAACAAGCGAATATGCTGAAACCTCATAATAACAACACGTTTCATAAAAATAATGAAGAGCCATTTGAATGGAAGGTTTGAGAATTAATCAATGTTCATATATATAGCAATGATGTTAATCACTTTGTGAAAGATAAAATTTCATGAAAGAATACTCAAAGACTGCATTTCATATCATCTCTGTTTTTTTATAACGAACGTACTGCTCAGTGGGATTTTTGAACAAATAACTTCGAGAAAATATGTAGATTATTCAATGCGTTTGTTTCCTAGATAAAGCGAAGGTCCGATGGGACACGATACATAACAAAGCGTCCGATACGGAATCGTCTGTTGAGGGAACGTGAGCAACAACTGAATAAGGTGTTGCAGAGATTTTGCCTTCATTAACTTACAGAAACAGAGACGACACTTTCGGTGGATGTATAAATTGGGAAATTCAATATGTTTACGATGGCTGGTAAGATACGGTAAAGATTATGAAATTTGTAGGAGCGAACAGGTATTAGTACAGATGATGACGCGATGAGTGAGCTAAAAACTGGACGATTTTGGAGTCGTGAAGAGAGGAAAAAACATTTGGAAAGGGCAAAAGAACGTAAGATGCGGCAACATCAGATGCTTGCCGAACGTCAGCAACGTCCATCTGATCAAGTACATTAGCTCTCATCGATTAATTTATTTATTTTACATTCTCGAATAGTTTCGAATATGCTGAATAGATGTGAAGTTTTGTAGATGATTGTACAGTTATCGCATAAGAAGATGATGCGACGAAAAGGTCAAATGCTTTTCGATAAGTTCACCACTGTTCAAGAATTTCTTGCACATGGCAATCGTGATCCATCAACAAATCGTGCTAATGATGGAATTTTATCGGTGACAACCGTTTAATGAATTGATCAGATATGTTTTGATAATGATAATGTATGATAATTATAAATATACAAATGCTAATTCTAAATGAACAGCAAATACTGATAATACTGACAGTAATAATCGGACTACAAAAAAATAAACTAACAATATGTTGCGATGTACATATGAAATCATGATGAGAAATTATTTTTTGAATTGTGATATCATAATAATTAGTTGCATTGGTACACCAGTCGGTTTCGAGCAAAACTTCTCCCCGCGAATGGGAATCGAGCCCGCGACGTACTAATTATCGATTGGGGCTCCACATAATTATTAGTTTGATAAAAATTCGTTATAATTTGCTTTACAATTCCATAACGATTAAATATTTCTTCAAAGTATTTTCGAATGCAATAGTCTGAACAAGAACCAAATTACTTCTATGTAAAGGCACATCACAAGCTTGAACATAAGTGAATTAGCGCATCAGTGATCATTAACAAGCAGTCAGTCAACAACAACAAAGGAATGCAATAATAGTGAAGCGAGTTGAACAAAATTGAATTAGAAGAGATTTCATCGAAAATTCGTATAAATAATTTCTATTTCCTCTTTTCCGTGGAATCGAGCTTGAGACTGTGGGGTTCAAAAATTTTTTAAGGGCTGGATATCACGCAGTCATATTTCAAATTTCTTCATCATTTTCATGTCCCCTAATTGGGACTAGTTCCGTAAATCATCGAAACTATTTTCGGAAAAGTGGCGTTATGCACCCACCATATCAAGCGAAATGAGGGGTGTGGCCCAGAATTCAATTCAATCTCAAACAACCAATCAACGGTTGGGTTACGTAAGGCAGCAGCGAATGTAATGAGGCGGGGCACAATTCTCTACAGTACTCGATGAATTCTTGAGGAAATACCATAAATATGGTTCATCAAGAATGACTTACGAAAAGTCTATGCTATTCAGAAAAATTATTGAAATAGTTCGTTCAAATTTCAAGGAAACAACAACAGCAAAAAAAAAACAAAATCAGCGCATTGAATAATGAAGAAGTTAACGATCATTTAAGTGTTATCATGTTTCTCATCACCTTTGAAACAAGATTGAATTTTCGGCTCGAAATAAACATAAGTCCAAATAGCGAGAAGAGCACCCAACGATATCGGTATGGCTACAACGCCTGCACTTACCATACCTGCTTGCAGAGTCAACCATGCTCCGCCAACGGCTATTGAAGCTGCAGAGCCTAGTCCCACACCTAAAGGAATTCATTGGCTATCTCAAACGTTCTTACTGATTCATTATTAATTTGAAAGAAAAACCCTCGTATATGAACGTCTCAGAAGTGCATTCGACACTCGAAATACCAAGCCTACTTACCGAGAAGTACTGAATCACCGCAAGCAATCATAGCAGACGTACAGCCTGTGACACGTTTATCTTCATTCAAACTTTTATAGTGTTCCAATTCATGCTGAAGAAAAAACAATTCGAACTAATAAACACAATACGAAATCGGAAACTCAATCTTTGAAACAATCAGGTATACTGAACGTTCGCTAGCAAACGTTTGTACTCTCATTAAGTTGTAATGTTCACTCACATTAAGTTCTTCCTGCAATCGTGCAAGGATTTTTGAACGAATCTCGTTACTTCCAATTTTTGGACACTTCTCGAAGACATTCAACGCCGTGATGCCATGCTTTATATGAATTTCATACAAACGTTTCTCAGGCATCATACGTGGTGTTGAGCAGGCCTGTAAACGCAAACTCTATATATCATAATTTTCATTTGAATTAAAGAACGTAAAATACTGACTCGATCCATGCCACGTATATACGCAGTTTTTGCTTCGTTAGCTGCTTCCATAAAAAGTAATTGAGCGTTCGCGTTCAGTATGTTCCTTGGTTCTGGCAAAGTGGTACCGCTAAATATACGTGCGTATTCCTTAATAATCTCATTAAACCAGTCATATAATTCAGATGAGAATTCTTAGAGGCAATAATAAGATTTAGGAACTCGCAATAGAAAAAAATAAAGCAAACGAAGCCCTACTCTAAAATAGTCGAGCATTTTACGGCACGTCATCACTTTACCATTCACAGTTTTCGGTTGTAGAGTATGTGGGTTGAGGAGTGATGCTGTCATTTTCTTGATTTCTTCCCTGAAGACGGGTCGAAGCTCTAAAACATTTGTTCACAGAATTTTAATTCTTAAATCATTTTTCTGGGTCAAATGAGTCAATCAGTCGATCCTCTTAAGATTTCAAGCACTTGAATCGAATCCTCTTTGCAACTACATTAATTCAAAATTGTGATCTAAATTTTTTTCCTCTTCCAGCAACGCCACCTGGCCAGTCAACAAATTTCATCTCATTCTTAAAGAAAGAATCTGATAAGAAATAGCACAAAAAATGAATGATGTTGCAATTACATTCAGCAAGGAGTGCAACTATGAATAAAAAAGTAACCTCGCACATGACCTTTGAATGAACTTCGTTCTGCGACTCTATGACCCGGATGTGGCAGCAAATAACAGAATATTTGTTGAAAGCACGAATGAATTTGATCACGAACACTTCTCAGTTCTTCAGGCTGAAAAACCATTTTGCATGCGTAGCACGCAGACAAATCTAACGAATTGTGCTCAGCATATGATCACTTCGATCATGACATGTTCAAACAACTTCAGACTTATCAATGACAGCGATAAATCTTGCTTATCGTTACCTGATCGGGTGTTTTCTTTAATACTGATTCCAAATAGCGTTTTCCACCTTCCATACCAAATGCAAACTCATCCGGTGATTTGAAATCACGTATAACAAACACCAAACTCTGAAATTTGAGAACTCCATCCATACTCAAGTCTTGTTTAGTCGATGGATTAAACAGCAAGAACTGATTAGGATCTACCTGGAAAGGTGTTCCGAATTGTTGCATTTCGTTGAGTGCCATTCGTCCATATTCAACAAATAATGATAAATGACTCAATGAGTCCTCTTGTATACAGTCAACTAAATTATATACTTGCATTGAACTAAGCATCGTTGAAAGTGCGAATGCACTTGTACATAATTGATATGTGGACGTATTATCGAACGTTCCTTGCGTATCAAGCTGCAAAATGAAGTGAATTTTTTAATCGCTTTGTGGTCAGTCTGATAAGACAACATTAAGCAAATGAGTTTACAATCAAACTCATGAATGCAAATATCGACGTTTCAAATTTGGGAATGCGGTGAAACTGAAAAAGTGAACTAACCAATAAAACAGCATACGTTTCACCGTTCGTTGAATCGATCATAATCGGTTCACCCCAAATCCAAATCCCAGTCGTATCACGTTTCGCACCACTCCGCCAATGAAATCCTTGAATTTGAGTATCGTCCGTTAACCAGTCCAGCGCTATATCGTTCTACAAAAAAAACAAAACAAAACATTCTCGAGATGGATCCATCTCGTATCTCATGTTCATATTCATTGTATTTGCACACATCTAGTTTAAATGTATTCAGCAACGGATGTGCCAACTGCTCACCTGTTGAGCTTTTTGTAAACAATATAAGTACTCGAGGAAGAAATTCAACAAGAAGCTTTTTCCTTTTCGAAATGCACCCGCAATACTTATGATCACCACCTGAAAACGAATGACGGCTAGTTATTATAGATGAGATAGAAAATGTTCATTGCGCTTTACCTTCCCCAAGAGTAATAGCCAAAAAGATGCAATGAAATATTGATGATGAATGTATGAGATGCCTTTTTGTTGGCGATTGCAGTGTGTCCAAGCACTGAATTGAGCGCATTTTCGCTGAACTTGAAACGGTTTGGGTCCGACGAATGTGGAGCAAAAATCTGTACGGGATTAACTTTGCGTCGATGATCAATTTGATCGCGAATACTAAATTCAGCTTGAAATGGAGCTGTTAAATCAAAAGACATCGACACAATCTTCTATGCAACAGCCAGCGAACAGCCAGCTAAAAAAAGAACAATCTTGAGCATCACCAACTTTTCAAGAATAAATAAGCAGTTCAAACAATTGGTAACAAACAATAAACGTATTGACTCAATAGTAAGTTGGATTCTGGAAGTGTACGAATAATGGACAGAATTATGTGGGCAAATAAAGTCCATCTCCAGTTTATTATACATCTATCTGTTCATTCATTTGTCCATCAATTTCATCATTTATTTTATCATGAGTGCCCATACTGAAAATCAATCATTGTTGGCGTTGTCGCATTTAGGAAGAGGAAAATTTTCGATGCAACTAACTAGTGAGAGCGATTAATTTAGATCGAAAATTTGAAAATTCGTTTAGTTTTCTTCATTTCATTTTCATTTCCTCTCATCATTATTTTCATTATCGTTCTTTTTCTATAAGTAATACTCATTTTGTGCTGTTCCGTCCACTCTTCAACATACATACATGCATGCATACATATATATCTCGATCAAACAACCACAATTAAGTAAGAAAGGGAGACAAGAAGCTATAAAGCTGATGCTGATGTTGTTACTGCTTTTGCTGCTGCTACTGCTACTGCTAGCATCAAAAACACTGTTGCTGTGTATCGTCAATTATAAAAGTAGTAGTGCCCCGTTGAATTCAGCTCAAAACGAAGCCGAATAAATGAATGAATGAATGAGATAAATCTAATTTTGATTCGAATATCATTAAAAGATTGTCATTTCACAGACATAAGCAATACACCAGTATCATTGTCAGCATCAGCATCGGCATCAACATCAGCGAGTAACACGACAATACGAAAACTAGTGAACAGATTATATGTTACGAGTGCATCCACTCATACGCATACCACATTAACATTTCAAAAACAAATAATACGCAACAAACACATAAAACTTCAGTTGCTTTAATATGTTATTGGATGACATAAATTCATAAAAAACACTGCATAAAACACATACGACTGATGCTTTATTATAGCCTTTACGGCCTATTAATCAATTATTAGCCACTGAACACGAAACTTTTATCCCTTATTCATGAGATTAATAATTTTACGGCAGCCAATTGCACAACATCGATAATGATCCAATTGACGTTTGAATACTGAAATCCTTGATAAGTTCACGTACTCAGCCATGGAATTGATGAATGAGTCTCCATTCGCTTCAAACTACAACGCTACTCAAAGTGCTTCATTCCAGTACTAATGCGTTCTTGCAGAGAATGACTGCAGTAACAATGAACGCATCAGTAGCTAGAATATCAACGAAATAATGCTGATTTGACTATCACTGCTGGTTGATGTTCAAGCAGTGACTGTTACTGTACAATCAGGCTTGTCGTTAATGCTTTTGTTCTTTATTGTTGTTTTCGCCTTTGAGGAGTATTTGGCAAGCACTTTGATTCCTTGACTATTCGCAATCACTCGTTATTGTAGACGGATCTAATTTTTAATATCGTTCGCTATTGATTCTAGTCTAGTTCAAACTAGAATTAATCAAGCCTTCATCAGAAAACATACGTAACGAATATGTGAAAATGCAATAAACCTCTTCAAGATCCACGAATGCAATGAAACACATCACGAATGCAATAAACCTGCTTAAGAAATTCTTATCGTCTACAAAAGGAGTTATAATTTGAATGTTGTAGCTGTGGTTCTTAACCGTTTTCGGCTGACCGCCCAGATGCATTAAGAACTTAGCTAAATCAATTTATTCATCTTTCAAATGCAACAATATTTAAGAGTCGCGTTTAAGACAGAGACGAAAGCAGAAGGTCTCTGCAGAGACGGGTCTTGAAGAATTTTATTATTATATATTATTACCATAATTATTATTAAATCGCCATAAAGTACACTTCAAAGGAAAGTTGATGGAAGCGATGCGCAACTAAGACCCAATTATCGAAATATACGAGATCAAGTGTATTAGTCAATCAGTTTTCAATCTAGTGTACGACGTTGCGCTGAAGGACTATGATTATGACGTTTGAAAATAAGTACTAGTTAGCTTTAGCTGGGTTATTAACTAACTTACATAGCAAACAATAATGAGATGACATAAAGATAAGATTGATGCGTTGAGTGGTAGTGTTTTGTCGGGGAAGTAGAGAAGAGAATGGGTTGGAACGAGACGAGACTGGGTGAACGGAATGTCAGATCGCTGCTGGATGATGATGACGATGATGATAAATTTTGTTTCTGCTAGTCCTATTCGTGTTCTTCAGCTATTACTGTGCTTGTGCTGATACTGATGAAATACGGCAAATGGAAACGAGAGTTTTCGCAAGGAATTAATGAAAAAAAAGATGAACATCTAAAAATTTCATGGTCGTTGAGAAACTGAAGAATTGTGAGTAGTTGGTTGGGATTGGTGAATTGGTTTGTTGAGTGATTCCGGAAATTGTTAGAGAAGTGCAGGGAATTTGGTGGCATTTGATCATTGGATTAGTCAATTTTGATGTTAGTTTTCATGCACTATTCGTTCTGTTCTCTTCACTTTCTTTGGCTTTGCATCTATTCAGAAACAGATGACGAAAAGAAGCCAAGTTGAAAAGTACTCGAACTGCAGCGATGCAATTAGCGAATGTCATGTCATTTGTAAAACAAAAGCAACATTGCTATTGCAATAAATGTTTCTTTACTTCGTCATTCGGTACCGAGCAAGGCAACGAGACAGCAGCTGTAACGACGAATTGAATATACATCAAAATAAGGTGATCAATTATTATTGTATATTGTAGATAATAGAACATCAGGTGACTACTTTTCAAGAAAAGTCAACTTAATTGGTGAGTGGTGTTGGATGTATAACTTAAATTTGCTTGCTTGTCGAGTTTTTGCTGCTGATTTTATGGTTTACTAACAAGTAACAAACAAATCATTTCATCGCATCTCATTTCTTGTTATAACCATCATTATGTACTTTTTCTATGCCTATTCTTATGTATCTGAAACTGCACTGATTATTGGTGGGGTTGAAGCAGGCTACTATTCCAGTGAAAACAAGTAGAACAATAACGTGGGAAAGTAAATCTGAAATTTGAGAGGAACTAAAAGAGTGAATGAGTGATGAATAATTCTTTGAAAGAAATGAATAAGTTTTCAAATGAAAAAAGATGGCAAAATTTTAAAGAAGAGCGGATGAAGATTTGACGCGACGATTAGAGATGATGTCAACTGCTGCTTCATTGTGCATACATATTAATTGTAAGTACGTCATCGAGTACCTTTATTGTCCGTTTGCATGACTTATGCTTAGTTAGTAGTGGTAGTTGTAGTGGATATATTAGAAGTACAGGCATGAATAAGGGATAATTGGATAAGGTTGTAATATTAACGGATGATGACATGGTAAAGAATGGCTGGATGAAAGTGCTTTGATCGGGCGGCTGATTTGGATTGGTGGTCGGTGGCTTGGAGGTGACATAAAACGTTAAATAACCAACTAGCAGCTAGCTATCTATACATTCATCTATCAATTTAGATTATTTATTCTTCACAAGCACACATTATTCATTTGAAGTTTATTTATTTCATCATTACATTTCGTTTTGCTTGATGCTAATACTGCATTAGGCACTGCTATAGTATTTATTATGTTATGTATGCTATTATATCCTTTATCATATCATATATTGCATCTTCACCGTCAAAATTTCTTCACCTGAATTTGTTCCATCATTAAACTTGTTCACTTCAACGCATCAATTACCTCTACTTGGAACGTCGTGTATCATTACGCGTATGGTGATACACCATACTCAATAAATTAACACAAATATCAACGAATTTATTGTCTCGGATAGTATACCACCTCAAATACACAAATAAACATTCTCATCCAATCTGTTCACGTTCATACAGAGATCAGATTCAATACCGCAGAAAACTGAAATTTACACAGATATAATGTAAATTAACCGGGAAAACGGAATTAATGAAACGAAAAACTGAATTCGTCGAATGAATTCCAACGAAAAATGAAATAAAATGATGTAAAGAAAGTAAGTCATAGATCGGAATCAAGTTGTGTCTTTACCACATGTGCTTATAATTCTTAATCGTTCTTTCTACCTTATACAAGTGTCGTCCAACAAAACCGGTGCAACGACCAAAATTTTTCAACAAACTTATTTTGAGAATGTCAAAAATAGAGATAAAATTGTCGGGACTGCTGAGAAAGATTGAATAGATTATGTACCATCTTAACACAAAAATTCTCAGATGTAAAACTTTTCCACAAAACAAAGCAATTTATTAGAACGCATCCAATGATTCTAATATAACCAAACGAAAATTATTTCAGCAGTACGCATAGAACTGCATTGTCAATTTGAAATTCTACTCAACCGTGAAGTTTGGAAAGGTTGACTGTTCTCTTCATCAGTATCAAACTTATCTTGAGTCTCCGTTTCTTGTCACATGTTCCATAGAAGAACAACATGACTAGCTTATTACCTCTCTCCTTACTTATAGATTAAATCTTCGCTCATTTTGTTACTTTCAATGGGTCTTTTAATTCTTTCTCCTACATCCATTATTTGTTATCATTCGATGATGCCGGGCTCATATATCTCGATTTTGAAACTGTTCAAGTTATTTCATCCATTAATTTATTTAAGAATCTTTTAGTCTTCCTTCTCAGTCCTCCACTCCACAGCTTCTTACCCAACTCTCTCAATTTCTTCCGAAAATCGAGAATTCTGTGCGCGAACGGTTAACAAGGCAAAATTCCAAAGAAATCATGCATTTCCGATATCGATGAGTTAGTCAGTCATCAGGTTCTGCTCTGATGATCTCTCTCCACTTTCTCGTTGATAACCCTTGAACCCTACATTAATTAGCTATTTTCTTTTGTCGAAAGTGAAATACTCAACAGGCTTGGAATCCCTCTGAATATCTATTTAACACTTGTCAAGACATTCTAGAAGGAATAAGTTTTTCTAATGAGATGCATGCTGGCTATAGGAAATGGTGATGATGAGATGCATAAGCAATTAATTGGTCAGGTAATTGTTTATTTTGAAATGAAAGATCTATGTAGAAAGTTCAACGTTCGGTACTAACTTTAACAAATAACGAATGTTTTAAGAAATCATAGAGAAATTTGAACGTATTGAAGCGAAGCAAACGAAAAATCTTTTTCACCAAATTAATCAATATTTTCATTTATTTCCTCCATTCATTGATCGAGTAAATGCGCCCAGAAAACAATTTTCAAAACGATCACTTCGAATCATCAAATTAAAATCGGTTCATAAATTCATCTTCGTTTATAAATCCTCGACTTTATTCATTAATCTACGGCCACATCGACGATATCTTCTCTGAATAAAATTCAAAAGTTTCAGGACTTAACTTACCATACAATGAAATTCGTAAACTACGAATAATTCTGCACATAGGTTTCAAATGTAATGATGATAATTCACTGAAAATTATGATAATTTAATAGATTTCAGATAATAGATAACACTAACCATATCATCGTTAACTAATTTTCGTCTCGTTTCATCATCGACTTTATCTTTCTGTTTCAAAAATTCTTTCTCAGCCCACAATTTTTGCATCATATAAGCGTCATCATCTAAATATGGAACCTCATATTCCTTCTTATCGCTCTCCTCAGCTGATATGTAATGCTCTGTTGCTGGCTTTCTGCAAGTAGCATTTGATTTATTTGTTTTAAAAATTAATTCTTTCTCCGCGAAAAAGACACATATATTTATAAATAAATGAGTTTACGTGTATGTGAAACCGGCAAACGACGTAACCGTTCGCATCGGTGTATCTGCACCGTGACCAGTTTCTAACGCAAAAAATGCATCATTACGTTCATGAACAACATTCTCAATATTCGACATACTCTGAAATGAATTAACACAACTCGCTGCAAATTGAAAAACAAATAAAACGACTAGTAACTAAATAAATATAATCTAACAAGCACCTCCTTAATTCGATCAATGCGCTCTGGGTTTGGCATATATTTAGCTCGAGTTGTATAAGCATGTTGCATTGTAAGTAGCATATTTCTTTCTTTTAGCAGAACGTACCTGCAATTAATTCGTTAATATAAGTTCGTTCCAGTTCTGCCGATTACGATCAAACTGAATAATCGAGAAACAAACAAACCACAATTTATGGAGATCTGAGTTCGATTTCAGCCGTAGTTCATCGACACTCCAAGATCGTCCAGGTCGTTTTCGTGGTCGAAGTTCTGCTTTGCCAAAGTTCGTTTCATCATCAAAAAAATCTTTCAGTGCTGTTGCTGTTATTCTTTTCATGCAACTTGTCGAAATATTCTTTGGATATAGGAGATCAAGGAATGAAGAACATATTAATCTGTAAAAATAATGACAAAATTGAACACTTATGAATGAAAATGATATTCATTTTATCTTCAGTTATCATGGTTTTCATTGTTACTTATCCATACCACATGTTGTTTTAATGGAAATAGATATCACATACGTATGACGAGCATTATTGGACATGGACTTGCTTGATCATTATGGAATGAAGAAAAAAAATTTGATTGAACTGAAGCATGTTCGATGAGCATAATCGACAAAAGTGATGAATAATCATTGTTATGATCAAAGAATGAAGAAGTAGCACAACACAACAACGCACTTACTTTAATTGTTGCGATCCTCCTATAATACGAATACTGGATAGCATTTACCTAGTTGTTGTAGCTGAAAAATTATTTTAAGGAACTGAAAATATTTGATCGTTTTCAAAATGAAATTCCCTCAAACAAAACACGACCAGATCAATCAAATCACTTCCCACTGCTGCCGATTGAACATACTCAGACGCACGCCTGCTCAAAGATGCGCATAACGTCTCTCTTTCTCTTTTTCTGTCTCTCTCCTGGTCTCTCACATATATTGCGACGCGTTCACTAAACGTCTTCAAAGTCCTAATGGCTTCTAGTCTAGTTTCGCGTTGCCGATGATTGGTATTCTATCGTAATGCATATGTATATATTTAATTCGTTCTCTTAACAACCTGAGGTAAGTCAGTGTTTTATGTGACCACATAGAAGTGCATATGGTAGGCCTCTTCTATTGTTGGTTTTTGATCACCTCTTAATGGAAATAATGAAGATTGATTTTGTTTGGGTGGATGAATGTTGTCGTCTTGAGATAAGATTATTAATGGCACATTCCCGGAATTATCCGAGTGTTTATTCTTTGCTGCATTATTTCTACAAGAGCGCTATTATGTACGCGTTCTAAGTTTTGAATTTGAATTAGAACAGTTGATGCTTTAAATTGTTACCGTTGATTAAATTCATTCATGATGTACCATAATGATAAGAGCGTTGAACAAGCCCTCTATTGCGGCTGCAATAATCAGTACATGTTATTTACATTGCTATTTTTGCAGTCAACGACGGCGCCTATGTTGACGATGATGTAAAGTGGATTTTTTGTTGCAATATTAATAAAAATTTTTATGAACATTACAGCTAATAACGAACCTTTCTCCTCCATCTTTTTTCTGTTGAGCAGCAGCGAGCGGATTACGGAATTTGAGTGTCATCGTCCTGAATTATCATCATAATCCTCATCGCATTGCCATCATGGGAAATAACTTACGGGGTGGTAGGTTGTTTGTGATTTCTGATAGATTTCATTTAAAAATTGAACATTCTTTTCATTATTCACTTTTGAAGGTTGCGTTATTGTTTTTAATTTATTGATTGATCAACTTATTATCATTGCTATTGTTGTTATATGACGTTACTCATTGAAGGTTATTGATGAAGATGTTAATAATTGTTTGTTTTGTCTATGCAAAATTTCATTTGCTCATACATTCAACTGTGCGCGCTGACTAATTTGAATTTCTTCGCGTTTTCTCCATTGTTGTTGCTCCATGCAGTCTCTGTTCTTTCTTTTAAATCCTAACTTTTCCGGTTTAGTTCATTACCCGAGTAATTTTGTAGTTTAGGTTGCTAAAGTTAAGATGGCATTTTAATTATAATTAATTACCCACTATGAGCATATGCCTTTCTTTTATCGCTAATAATATAGCAAATTCTTTACCACCCGATAATTTTCTTCCCAAGCAGCCAACGGTGTCAGTGCACGAAAGTATCCGAGTCATCCGTCTTCATGAATTTCATGTCGGTCAATGATTTAGCGATTACCATTTCACGATGATGTCTTATAATACGTTGCATAATCAAGATAATTGTTTATCTGTTCTTGATAAAGGTACTTGTTGAAGCAGTTTTCACTTCTGCTTAATAGATCAAATACCAGGAGACGAAGAAATTAAGTGATTGATTATGCTGGCAATAGTGTTAGCAGCTGGTTGATGATACCGCAAATTTGTTATTGTTGTTGAATGAGAACACAACACCTGGAGATGAGTAAAAGCGTGTATAGAAGATGTGATGAAGCTTAAGATAAGCCGAGATGAGTAACAGCAATCTAAGCAAAATGAGATTGAAAGGAATGGTAAAGCTATTAGAATCAGATCAAATCAGATGAGATTCAGGTAGACAGATGTTTAGATCGTTATATGAACTATGAGAACTATGTAGCACTCGAGGAGTAGACTGATAGTGAGATTGTCTATGAAGAGCGACAATAAGGAACAACAATTCAATCAGATTTAGTGATTTCTTTCTGGCGCCATATTACACGATGTAAAGTGAGTGAGTGATATGAAATCAGTGAAATGAAGTGACTACTCAATTTATTGCATCTTATCTGCGTATTTCATGTGGTTCGTTCGTTGACTTCTTTCTTTCTTTTATGTGCCTCTCTGACGTCGCTCGAATTATTAAATGTGTATCGTTAGTTTTTTGAGTCTCAGCATCAGCACAGCACAATTTTGTGATTATATTAAAAATTTCTTGTCGCATTCCAATATGTATTTCTAAAATGGTTCTGTTGACATCACTTTCATTACATATATACGTATAAGTAACCATAAGTGTTGGTTGAATACTTACTTGATCGTATTTCTCATTCAAATTTTGGTATTTCTTCCCATCACCGCTTTAGTTCAATTTAGATAATGGTTAATTTAGTTTAAATTGGCTGCTGCTATCTTCGCTAAAATTCAGTCATTTATTGATTCATCTTATTCATTTTATGTTATTCATCTGAAAAACAAACAATAATTTCACAAAAAATTGGTTTATTGATTGGTCTGTTTTTGATCGATTTATTCGTTCATACATCTACTTCATTTCACACTCGGCTCAGATTTTCTATATTCTATTTCGCTAACGCTGGACGATGTATTTTTACTCTGCTCAATTTATATGATTTAACTAAAGTTCATCTAACCTACAAGTAACAGCAGTCGTTCAACTCTTTCCCTGTGTATGCTTACCCTAAGCTCAGCTTAAAACTTGAATTAAGCAATCAATAATATTTCAGTACTGCTATTGTCCTCATTGAATGTATTTGCGATTTACTATACTATTGTTATTGCTTACCTTACCAAGTGCTCCAACCATTATTATTCAGTATTATTAATTCTGATATTACTATTGTTATTAGTGTTGTTATGATGACCCTCCAAGGTGATCAATTGCCACTGTTGGATGATGAATTAGAAACTAATTATTATGCTCACGATCAGTGGAACTTGGATAATTTTACTGAAGTAGATGACACACGGAGTGTACATCAAAGGAGAGGTATTTAGTTGATGTTCATATGTTTTAAGTATGTATGCGTGTGATATAAAATTGTAATCAGCAGTTATTAGGAGTTTATCATAGGGATGAGATTAAGTTCTTGATATTCTTCCTTGATATACCGATGTTAGTGCAGAAAATCATCCGTCCTCACAAAATTACATTTTTCGGTCGTTGATTTAGCGATTACACCGGCGTACTGGCTAATGTGTGATAAAATTGTGGACATGATCATAATGATTGTGAGATGAATAAAGTGTTGGGAAAGATTTCATTGATTGGTCATACAGAAGGATTTCATTATCATCGCCAATGGTAGGTTCTGAACACAACTGATTGGTGTTCAGTGCGAAGAAGTGAGTCAAGCTGGCATACAGGCGGCCTTTCTGAGATTCGAAAGTTGGACGTTTGATATGACTGGGATGGCATTATGTGATGATGTCTTCATTGAATTAAGGAATTGGATTGGACTTCTTTTCATCTTTGATTCTTTACTTTGGTCATTGGTTATTGAGGAACCAACCGTTATGAATGTGAATTTTGTTTTCTTTGCATTTAGTTTAAAGTCGGTTTTTGGAAAACTGAAATAGCAGGAAGTATTTTCCAGTGGATGAAGAAAGTATTTTGTACCTTTCAAAATTTGTTGTTCTTGAAAAACACGGAAAAGGGCGGAGCAATGAGGAAAGCGTAATTGGCGAAATGACTGTTTGGTTTTTTTTTTGAAAGAGTGATTTGAATTTGAATAATGCGTTGTTACTGTTAGACTCTGATTGATTTGTGAGAAAGAAGGAGGGATGAAAGAAAAAAAAAGGGCATACGTGTCGTTTGAAATGGATGTGAAAAATTGTGCAAGTGACTGCAAGAATAGATTTGAATCCATTTTTGTAAGGCACAAAGATCGATTAGTTCAGTGATATAAATAGTCGTTAGCGCCGATTGCGTGTGAAATTCAAACTAGTTTAGCTGTGATATTTACGTGAAGCGAATGTGATTGTTGATATTTTAATAAATTTAAACAATGTCATTCATTCTTATATCGATTTTCATGAAATTTATTTATTCATTCAATCAGCGATTAAAACATCTTATTACGAGTTCATGCCGTTCGTTTATCACCGATATTACATTCTTCGTTCTTTGACATCCTTCCGGTGATATTGGCGCATGAAATCATTCCTCTACACAAAATTTTAATTCCTATTGTTGAATTGGCGATCCTGAACGTGTAGGGCTATTCTCTCACACTGCCCAATGATATCTGAGGAGAGGGACTCGAATTGATCGCAAAACTACATATAATTGTTTTTACATGCATTTTATTAATTGTAGTTAAGAGATTGATTGAACGGTGCGATGATGGTGGTACTAATAATAATAGTATAATATCAATGCTAATTCTAATAGCGGTTCCAATCTAGGGAAACATGAATGAGCACATGAGTACTTCATTGTTGTCTTTGTAAGAATAGATGAAAAGATCGAAGTGACAGTGAAAGGCTATTTTAGTTAGGCATTCAATGTGTTTGAATGATTATTTGATAAAAATGTGAATTTATTGTAGTGTGGCCGTAATGTGATTGTACTGTACATGATAGTGCTGAATATAATACAAATAAAGTTGTTCTTGAATAATATTTTAAAATTGCATGAGATGATCATGAAAGAAAGGTAATAATGAGTTACGGCGAGATGAATCTGAATGAGAACGAGTTTAATTTTACGCTTCCTATCAATAGGTCATGTTCGCATTTGATTGATTATTGAATCAATCAATCAGTCGATAGGTCATAACCAACAACTTGTACCCATTTATTTCTTCTTCCTCATATAAAGTGATTATTTTGAATTGCTCGCATATAGTTAGTTGGTTGTATGTTGCATTTGTATGTGCGCGTGCTGCAGAATCATTCCATGCGCTAATGATGCTGATAATGCGGTTCGTAGCAGTTTAGTACTTCATCCAGTTCTGCTGCTGTTAGTATTGTCTCCAATTTATGGTATTCTTATAGTTACGATGATCATTGTCGATATCATTACTGTTGAACAGATATTCTGATACAAGCCAAACCATAGCCTAGCTATTCTGATGTTATTACTTATAAGCAAATCTAGAGAGCAAAGTGTGAAGGTGTTTGATCATTAAGAGGCCCTGCCGGACGTGTCCTTACCAATGAATACAACTGATGAAAGTGGTGCCATGGTGAATCAGGGTACGGCAAAGTTGACATTCCACGAGGTGCACGGCACTAATATTCAACTTCTTCATAATGGACGTGTAGCGAAGCGTAAAGAATCGTTCTGTAAGGGCCTTGCGTTTAGTAGTAGGTAAGTTTCAAGATGGTGTTAGCAAGTATCGTTTATTATTGGTTTCATATTTATTACTGTTATTATTATGCTCATTTTTATTGTTGTTACTTACAATGTAGATCAATTATAGTTAGTCAGTAATCAATATAATGCATATTTCAAAGACCGATCGCAATCGATGAGCAAGTTTGTATTCGTTTCGTTGAAGTGGTCACCAACTGGTCAGGTGTACTCCGTTTTGGTGTCACAAATGTTGATCCTTCAACATTTCGTGATGTTGAGTTGCCGAAGTAAGTTATTTATTTGCTTAATGAGGATATAGATATACCTCTTTGCAGTGGCGTGCTGGAGAGGAAGGGAAGCGCCTCTTTCCTGGAGGTTGGGAGAAAAGTAAAAGAAGGGGGAGAGGGAAGCGAAAAGAGAAAAGAAGGAAGTTGGGAAAAGAAAGCATGGAAGGGAGGAAGAAAAAATGAACGTGAAAAATCTGTCTCCAAATTCAGCTATGTTTCTGTGTCAAACTATTTTGCACCCAACCCCCTGTAGAAAAAATCCAGGCTACGCCATTGCCTAAATAAGTTATAAGTTTTGATCACAAACTGAATTTGGCGCGAAGCAATGTAGCACTATAAAATATGAGTTAGGATATAATTTGTTTTAATGAGGTAGTTATTATTGTGATAACATGTTATGCTACTTGTATCACACACACACACACTCAAATAATAATTGCTTTATTGAGGTTCGCATGCCCTGATTTAACTTCGAAAACTGGGTATTGGGCGAAGGCATTGCCAGAGCGTTATTCTGTGGAAGGCTCCATTCTGCATTTTTATGTAACTGCTGATGGTGAACTATATTATGGAATAAATGGCGTCTTGAAGGGATTGTTCTTTAGTGGTATTAATGTTTCGCTACCAATATGGGTGATTGTTGATATATACGGCAATAGTTCATCGTTGGAATTTGTTGGTTGGTTTAATACGCATTTAGCATTGATATCTATTCCTCATGAATATTTACTTGTGTTGTTAAGATGTAACCTTATTGCAATCGATATAAAAGAAGTGTGAAAAGGTTATGCTAATAGTGGTAATAACGATCGAATTAAGATCCAAATGAAGCACGTATTCGTACATCATCATCAAATCGAACGATGTTCAGTAATACAAATACAAGGCTACTTGCTGCTCGCAATAATCTTTCAAATAGTACCAACAACAACGCTGTCAATAATAATAATAGCAATAGCAACCGTTCATCATCTAATCCTTCGTCATCTACGAGCAATCCATTATCAAACACATCAACCATATCAGCATTGGTTTCGAATAATAACAACAATAATACAAATCAAAATAATGTGAATATGACAATTAACAATATGTTATCATCATCCACTGCACCAAATGCTCGTATACTACGTACAGGCGCTGGTAATAACGTTTCATTGCAAAATGGTACCTCTTCATCCAGTTCACATATACCGCTACCTTCATCCAAATACCACGCAGGTTTGACCTTTCCCAGTTTTATTTTCTGTTAATATTGTAATCATTGTAAGTAACTGACAATGTTGTAGGTGTTGTATTCACGCCACTGACATTTCATTCAGTGCGAGGTAAGCATATAACACTGAGACAGAACTATACGGTAGCCGAACGTTATACGGGTGAATATGCTTGCGGATACGTCTTCACATCTAGGCCACTCACATTCAACGAGAAAATAGTTATCCAGGTGATTTTTATTTGATTTTTGAATCGTCATTTATAAGATATTCTATTTTACCTGATCTGTTTTAGCTTTAGCTGTATGAATTTATGGACATAATTGAAATACTTACTTATGTGAGTGAAGAAATTTCAGATAATTAACGTTGAGAATGCATATACGGGTAGTTTAGCATTTGGCTTAACTTGTTGTGATCCAGTGAATATACAGTCGTCAACGTTACCAGTTGACAGTGACGATCTGCTGGAACGTCCTGAGTATTGGGTGGCTATCAAAGACGTGGCAGCACAACCGAAGCCCACAGATGAATTATCATTTTGGATTACTGAAAGAGGTTTTTGAATGAAATATTGTTTGGGGCTGATTCAATATTTATGTTATGCGTATTCATATTTTCATTTTATTGATTGCTTCAATTTATAGGTGAAGTATATTTTTCAAAGAATAACGCACCAGCAGCTATAATAATGTACGTTGATACTGAAGTGAAATTATGGGCTTTCTTCGACGTTTACGGTTCAACGCAACGAATTCGTCTCCTTGGTTAGAATCTGTTGTTGTTTTGAACGTTTGCCATTATTGTTATTATTATTAGCATTGTTATTATTAGTATTAGTGTAACTATTGTTATAATTATTGCTATTACGAATGAAAACAAGTAATTAAGGGTCGGTGAAGATTGGAAGTGGAACACAAGAAGCAACACAACGTGTACCCGTATTACCGTCAACTTCGAGTGTACTCCCGTCGTCGTCGAGTGCACGTTCAGGTTGTGGGCAATCACAACAGCAACAAGCTCCATCACATCGAAGAGGAGTGACAGGTTTACAACAGACAGCCAGAGGAGGAGCTCCACCGCAACCACCACAACATAAAACATCATTGGATTTGTTCGTTTTCTTCTTGCCTTTTTACGTGTCTCTTTTATCGTGGTATTGAATTTATAATAATAATAATTATTGTTATTATCTTCATTTTCGTTATTGTTATTGTTGCAACTATCAAATGTTTTAGAACCTCGTCATTGAGAGCTACTGGTGTAAGACTAGAAGACTTATTGGCAGTTGATGGTACGGACGGAGGGGACGCAGCATCTGGTACAATTCCACGTCCTCCAGTGCATCGTGTACCATCAAATGTATACAATAATCTTCCTATAGGAGGATCGTCATCATCCACTGGCAACAATAGTAATAGTAACAGTGCAGCAACAATCAGACAAGCACAACAGGCGCAACGATACGATGTGCATCAACCTCAGCTACCAAGAAGAACATTTGAAGAAAGTGGTGCAACTCCAGCCGTCTTAGATCCTTTTACTTCTTTGAGCATCACTCCTGCATCAACAAATCGTTAGTTGGCTATTGCTGCTACTATTATTGTCATCTTATGTCAATATATATGATGGTGACATTGAACGAAGTATTTTTAGAACAGCAATTGTCCTCAACGAATCAAGAATTGCGTTGGCATCAGCCTTCTTCAGATCCATCTTTATTAGGTATCTTCGACAGATTTGACAGGCCGTCCACGAGTCTTCTCAGATCTACACCACCACCACCACCGCCACCGCCGTTACCTGCCAGGTATTTACTACTTTTATTATTATTATCTAAAATGCGACAAAAAATGGTGCAAATAATGAACAATGAATGAATTAGGAATTCACCGATCGGTTTGTTATCAAATCGCCCCATCTCGTTAATCTCAACATCAAGCACAAATATCAATCAGCAACCGCCCTCTCAATTGGGCACGGCAGCATCAAACCGAAGTTTGTCATGTGGTGAATATGAGGATAATGGTGACGACGAATGTAAAATATGCATGAGCGCTAAGGCGAGTTCTCCATCCATATTCTATATCTCCATTTGTTTATTGTGATGTTATTTCAAAAATTCATTTTTATTTTCATCACAGCAATAATGGCGGTATAAGTTCTTTTACATGATACCAGTGCTGTCATGATTATCATCATTGATCTTATAATTCAGGTGAATTGTGCTATTTATAAGTGCGGTCATACATCAATGTGTTACGAATGTGCAATGTATACATGGCGCGAACGTGGTGAATGCCCAATTTGTCGCAAGAAAATTAATGATGTGATCAAAATTTATCGTTCTTAATATTCTCAGAGTTTTGGTTATCAGTGCTATGATGGACGTTACTCCTTCCTATTATTTGTCAGTATTAACACAACACTCTTATTCAATTCTATCTGTTTTTAATCGTTTCGTAAATTATCTCTCATTTAATATCGTCAAATTTTACTCTACGAATTATTTATTGTATTATTGAGACCGTTGTAATCATTTAAATCAATGTTCATCTCGTCGTTTGATGCTCAACCCAACGAATTGTTTTTAATTATTGTGCGATACATGTTTATGTGTTATGGTCAGTTGGTGTTTAGCTATATGTTTTAGTCGCGAACCCTACTTAATATTGACTGATCGGATCCATTCTGCAACTACCTACTTTCTAAACTCATGTATGAAACTGTTCAGTTCACTCAGTGGCAGAGATTTTGGTAATGACGGCAAGTCGAGTATTGTATCGATCCCAATCGTTCCATTAATTTATGTTTTTATTTCAAATAAAAGTTCTTGATTTTATTTATTTTCATTCTCTTTCGTTTACCATGCCAAGACTGTTCATTTCATTGTACCACAGCTGCTCAGTGTAGCGCACTAGCCACAGCTTAAGTTATCGCTGCTTATCTCTTCCGTTTACCAGTCAGTCTGTTCATATCGTATTGCTCAAACAATTTTCACTAATCCTCACCACTCAACACTTGTCTAATATTTGTCTCATTCTATTTTATGCTTCCATTTGATGACGTTTCGTTTTTGAGTGGTTTAGCGAAAAGATTGTTTTTTTTATTTATTTTCTATATGTGAATCGAAAATGTCATTGTTTTTTCACCCTCTGTTTTGCCTTTGTCTGTAGGGTAAAAGTTTTCATTAAGTTATCACCACTTTTTTTGCTGTATGTAAGATATGTAATATCTTTCATTAGGTGATTAACACCTTTTTTGCGATTTGTAAGATCTCTGCACTTATCATTGAATGATTTGTGTATTCGTTCAGTTATTTTTTGATCATTCATTTATCTGCCATCCACTGATGTTCCATTAATTTGATCGCGCATTTCCGGTCTCTGATATCATTCATTCATAATATCATCTATGCAGCAAACCTTATTGGAGTAATGCGCAAACTCTACACAATTTCATGTTTCTTCTTCTGTGTCGCATAATGATATCGTGTAAGCCATCATTTTTTATGTTTATTTAATTCAACTTGCTCTGATGATATTCATTCAAAGAGAATGTGATGTGAACGGCAAAACGAATTACTGCATATTCAGTCGATTAATTTCAGCAATAATCGAATTAGAGTGATTGTTTGGTTTAATTAGTTTGTCAGTTAGAATCATGCTAATTAAGCAATAAAATAGTTATGTGAAGCAACAGTTCTCACCTAACTTGAAACTTCTAACGCTGTTGTACTGTAGACGAATAATTACAAAGTGTATGATGAAAGGATATTTGTTGATTTGCAACAATGAAATGATTGAATAATTACTTGACTGATTCGTAATATGCCAGGATGTCAGTTATCATTACATGTTCATCGTGATGGTCCATTGACTGCTTTTAGCATTTTATGTGATCGATATTGTTCGTATTTGTAGATGAAGTTGGTAATGTTTCAATTTGAATGGTGTGTGGTGCAATTCTGACTGATGAAATATGCGGTCCGTATCAATGCGACAATAAATGAGCAATTAAATTTTCATACGAAAGTATCAATTGGTCATTGGTAAATGGTTTGTGCGCACGTTTATGCAAAGTTAATTTCTTACTGCTTTGTGTTTTGTTTTCGTTTGGCAAAAATTGTTTATTTATTTATTTGGTTGTTTTGATCAGACAACTGATTACTTACCGTGCTTATGTGGTGTGCTGTTTATTGAAATATTTCTTCGTACACATTAACTTCTCAATTTGCTCTTCTTCAATTCGTTTTTGTTTTAGTCCATTGTTACCTCTGCTGCTACTGATACATTCATTCATACAATAGTTTAGATAAGCTGAAATTGTCAATCGTTTGTTGTTCGTCCTTCTCGTGCTTCGCATTTATGAGGATATACTTGTTTGTTGATTTTTGTGCGGTGTACATTTGAATTCATTTGATACAAACAGATTTTCTAGATAATAAATAAGTTTATTTTTTCAGTTTTTCTAATGATTCGACAATCAATTTCAAACATTCTCTTCGATAAAGCTCTCGTTATTCATCGTCGTCGTCAGTATTGAACAATTAGTTGTTGAGCGAGAAGACGGCGTTTGTGGTTGTAGATGCGATGATAAAGATGATGGTTCATTAACTGAGGATTGTTGTGGGGACTTCATGAAATTTTGTTGGTGCTGTCGGCTTTGTCTAGATTTAGGTAGTTTGAAATAAGGTGGCAATTGCGTTGATGGTGCAGGTGTTAGTGGTAAAGCGGTAGTAGAAGATTGAAATTGTAACTTGGTTTTTTGGGGCTGATTAGACTGCAATTTTGAAGGTGACTTTTGTGGCGCCGATGGGTATGATTTAGAGGTGGGGGGAAAGTGCATCGTTTTTGTTGCACATGCAAATGAGAGCGATGCAGGGGCGGCAGTGTTACTGGTGGATTCAGAAGGAGGCTCATTGAAATGATTGTGTTCAGTTGAAGTTGAAGATAGTGTCAGTTGTTTATTGGAGTTGTTATGATGAGAAGAAGTAAATGATGATAGCAAAGTGGATTGCTTTTGAATTGGATGCTGAAGATTGACATTAGTTGCATTTGATGACGAATGGAGTGTAGCTGCTTGGCAGATGAATGGTGAGTTTTCATTGTTACTGCCTGCAATTTGAGGATGAGCCGAAAGTGGATGAGTTCGAGATTGCGGTTCAAATTGAACTTGACGTGCGATTATCGACCTGTGTGATAAGGGTGATGAAGGGGGTGGTGGGTAGAGGCCACACAACGAGCCACGTTTTATTGATTGATGTTGGAATTGGAGCTGAGGTGGTGGTGGTACTGGAAGGGCGACATTTTGAAGCTGATTTTCGGAAAATTTGTTGAACGTGTTATTATGATTACTGGTATTATTATTATTATTATTATTGCTATTATAATTATTACTATTGTTATTATTGGTCGTGTTAATAGCAGCAGTGGTATTAGGATTGGTCATAGTTGCAGCATTCGATGCTGCATTTGTTAAACACCATGAACGTTTTTCAGCTTCGGCACGTTTCACTAAAAAAAAACAGCTGTCAATTAGTCATTGTGCATGCGGGCACTGTCGTGCTGTACCATTCATTTTTTTCCGAAATATCCGTCGAGATATTAGAGAAACTTTGCTCTTTCTTAGGAATCAAGATAAGTATAAAAGTAAAAGCTAATTGTAAGCCTAGGAAGTCGGGATGTTCAGAAAGAAGGAAGTGTCCAATTTAAGCGTTCGTTTATACAGAAAGATTTTCAGGTGGAGACAGGCTATCAGCCGATGCCATATGCGATGGATTGCATTCGTAATGTGCATACGAGTGAAGCTTTGTCAGTTTGGAAAATACATATGAACGTTTATGTGAATGATGAGATGTGGAAGGTGAAATAAAACATACTTTTTGATTCGAGTCCCGGTACAACTTTCATTTTGTCGATTGCTGTTGGATAACGACGAAAATATAGAAATGCATGAAAGCAGGCGCACATTTGCAACGGTAAGAATGATAAGGATGAGAAGAAAAACGAATACCCTGAAAAATAGTAAATTATATGATTGAAAGTTGTGATTGGAATGAAGCTGGTAGTAGTCAGCAGAAGGAAAGCAAGAGAGCGATCTGAAGTTAAATCTAAGAATTTATTGTGTTTCTACATTTCGCAAAATAAAATTTGCATTTTTACATTTTACATTAAATTTACATTTACAAATTGTAATATTTTGTATGGAAAAATGAAACTCTAAAAAGTACATTTTTCAGCCCTCGAAAGTATGTCTTTTCGTCTAACAACAGTCTCTTTAGAAGTTCTCTAGCGAAAAAATTTATTGGGAGCTAGCTGAGTCAAATTTTTTTTCGTCTCAGGTACACTAATGCTCGACTTTGGGAATCTTTTAAGTCCCATTCTATAAAATCGTGATTTTTTTCATTGGAAGCAGTCCATGAAGAAGTTCATGGGAAGAAAAATTATGTTGAAAGATCGCTTTATCTGTTTTGTTTCTTAGGCCCTTTATTTAAGAAAACATTTCGACACAGCCACATTTCAGACTGATTTTTTTGGAGCGAATTTTCAGACGGATTGTTTTTTGATTGTAATGCGCTTTCCAAGAGGTGAGACCTTAGAATTTATGAAATCCAAATATCGCAATTTATAGCGCCGTAATCGAAACAGAGGTTAACATAACTACCTTTCAAACTAACTATTTTGAAGAGAAATTTTATATAGGTAGTTTCCGGATGGGATGGCGTATTTTTTTGCGCTGAGGCCTTATAAATTCTGATGTTCAAGAAAAGTCGTCACCCTGATCTACGTATGTAAATGAATACCGTGAATTGTGCAGTGTGCATCAGTGATATACACATTGATTTAATTGAATAAACCGGGCGTCAAATGTTGTTAATGAACTAAGTTGATCGATCTAGTGAAGGAATTATTTGGTGGAATTGATTTTCCGAGTATTGATTTAGTGTGGTTGATCATGTTACTTGGTCAGTTATAATCTTTTCCAGGAACGGTTGACAAAGATGATTATGCGAGCAGTACATGGTGTCGGAGTAATTACTGTTAATATAAGATGATAACAGTAGCAGTGATGATGTAATATGAGATGCTTGCACAGTATTATGTTGTGTGTGTTCGATGTTTTTTGATGAATGAAATTAAAAACTGAATTGATTTTATCAAACCGTATTCGAAACCAAATTTTGATGGTTCTCCAGCAGCGTTCGGTTTCATTCGTGGAGCCAATTCGTCATCAACAACACACACGAATTGTAGTACACCCATTAAAATGACCAATCCTTCAAAATGTTAACATTCATATTGTTACAACAAATACCTGTTATTATCAGTATATAATTTGTAAAGAGTCAGTTTCAACCTGCATGTTGGAACTTACTCTTCAAAGTTCTAGCAAGTTCCAATTCAGCCCCGGAAGGTATTTTATGCTAGTATTCCTTCACGCCGGTCCAAAGCCCCGAATGGTGAGGATTGTGTAGGTAAATGGCAATCCAAAATAAAGGTGGCATTGCTAACATAATAAGATGAGGTTTACTATCGCAACCAATACGAACATCTATTATCATGTCTAATCTTCTTAATTCATTAATGATATCACTATTTCAATGGAGTAATGCACCTTTATGTATAGATACATGGAATGATTCACTTGATGTACAAACCTCCACATATATATAAAATTGCTGAAACAATTGTGCATGAGCTACGTTCGATATGTCCAAATGTGCCTAAACAAAAGGCTGAGTAGCAAATTGCAGTACCAATTACATGCATTAATGCTGGTATCGCTAAACGTTCTGAAAATGGAATATTATACAATACTTACTCAAATATAATAGCAATTGATTGCTCATTCAAAATTCATTCATCTTATCTAAAACGTTCGTCGAAGTCAACTCAGAGAGTTCATTCAACCTCTACTCAGAGTGCATGCCAGAAACCCTGGAGTCCTTTTTGATCTGAAGATTTGGTCAGTTTGTTCTCCAAGCTTTTGTACGTAAGCGTGCTTTTTTTAATGGAAATGCGTTTGTCTTTCAAAGTCTCACATTTCGAGTGGGTTATATGGACGCCAGAAAAGTCAAAAATATGAAATTCCTGTGAACCAGGTTATGTTCAGTGAGTTGGAAGACATGTTACTGATGAATTGTAATTAATGAATAAGTAAGCACTAAATTTTTAATGATAATATTTGGTGATATTGAAGTATCTTCCAACGATTGTTCAATTCAACATACTCACTTTCAATTGCTAGCGTTGCTGAACTAAAATCTGTGAGATCATCACCTGTGAAGATTGGATTCCAATGGCATTGTAGCTCTATTTCTTTCCCTTAAATTTCAAACGGTAACAATGATAATAATAATTATTATTACAATTATTATTATTATTATTATTATTATTATTATTATTATTATGCGAATAATAATAACAGTAACAACAATGATAATTATAATTATATCAATGACTGATAATACCGTAATTCTGCCTTCAATCCTACGATCGTCTGAGGTTTTGAGTCACTGTCTCGATTCATCATTAAACTCCCAGTTTCAAGTATAACATGCTCAAGGAATTAATGTTAAGCAACGAGAGTTCATTACGATGATAACTTACTAGATAAATACGAAGAAATATCGTCGGTGTCATAGATACTTTCAATGTGTTTTCGACACATCTGCAAGTAGCCAGCACTATATTGGAAAACGGTTTCCTAAAATCAGTACTGGTTGTTTATTTGTGCTTCTCAATGTTTCCGATCAATTCTTTTACCAAAACTGAATGCTTAGTTTAAACTCTAAGATCTATACTTCAGATGGAAGGAACAAGCCTAGCAATCAAAACCGTGAATATGACTCGAGGTTCAGAGCTAAATTCTGTCACGTCTAAATATAGTTTCTACAATGGACAGTTTCGATGCTAATTTGTCGTCAATTTGTCATCGAAACTGTGCCTCACTTTAGTGGGAGAGAGAGAAAGAGAGCTACACTCTAGAATGCGCCTCTAGTCTACTCTTATTTGGCCCATTAATTGAAACTATTGAAATAATGGTAACAATCACAGTCTATTATTGACCCACCATGAAATCACCATTTTCGTTGGTTTTATTAATTGGCCTCGGTTCAGTGATATGCACCCAGCCGTTCGTGAAGATTGGTATAGAATGTAGACATATTACTATAATGCCAATAATAGTTGTGAATGACCATAACAGCGTATCTGTACAGCGAATATTTATTATCGTCTAAAATCCATTATTATACATTACTATTAATTTTATTATTACGATTATTATCATTACTATTATTATTACATTATTACTATTATTATTATATTATTACTATTATTATCATATTATTACTGTTATTATTATATTACTATTATTATCATTGTTATTATCATTATTGTTTTTGTTATCATTATTACAGGTTTTTTTTGTTGATCATTTCTAAAACACTAGAGTTCTTTAATTGCTTATAATTCAGCATCATAGGTCAACAGATTGCAATCAGGGGCATTTCACAATTCAAAATTCATTTATAATTCATGCGTGGGCGGCTGTGTTGTTGCTGTATCATAAACTAAGTCATTGGTGGAGGTTTTCTTAGAATTCGCTTTGAAGTGATAATGAACGAATTCTGTTAAAAATTTGGATTGCCTGATGTGAGAAAGGGATGAGCGATTCAATGAATGTATGATATCAGGCAGCGAGCAGAGTTGGAAATGAATCGGTTTTCATCAGTAGTTATCCACCGAGCATCCTATCGATGACTATCAAAATTCGATTTTTCGAGGCAGTCGACCGATTATTCGCTTTCGATGGCCATTTAAGTCTCGGTGGTCATTACTTTTTGTAACTACCAAATGACCAACCACTTTGGTGACCACCTATTTCCGGATGCCGTCCAATTTTGAGAGCCACCAATTAAACTCTACTAATGAGGAAGGAAATCAACAACTAACTAGCCTGTAAAATGCGTTTACTGAATGTTGAAGAAGAGTGTGCGGTGGTTGTCGTTGATAGCGTTGTTAAAAGCAGTGCATCTGAATCTAGTTGATGACTTAGTTTTGAGGTCTGATGATGATGCTGGTGGTCTTTTCTGATTTGTCCATATTGCCGACTAAGATTAAGGTTCATTTGTTGTTTTGTTTACAGCACTGAAATTGAAAATTTTTAAATGGATTTAATATTAGTTGAAGTACAGTACGTTAATGAAACAAATGATTATTGACCAAATATCGAAAAAATCTTATTATCATTCTTATCATTGCTATTACTGCAAATTGTAGCTCAGCACAACTGCAGAATATTTGAGAATAAATGTAAGAAGTCAAATATATGAAACATTCGTGGTAATGTTATTGTTGGTGTTGCTGCTGTTGCTATGGAGGACGAAGAAATGATCTGACCGAATAAGATGTTTGAACCAAAGATGGTCGAAGGAAAAGTGGATGATGAATAAATTGAAGTGGAGAAATTAACCAGACAGTGGTGGTTGGATTTAGGTTTGTTCGCATCGGTTCTGTGTAGCACTGAGGTAAGTTTCTAAGCATTTCGATTAAGAGGATGTTAAGTTTAAAGGTGTTTGCGTTGGAAGTGCCTTAATGGATATTGAAAGATGGAAATAAATTTGATGAAATAATATGAATAAAAATATGGATATATGAAAGAGACCGAAATGTATGCGTGTTATTATTTGATGAAAAGTTGAATGTTTGTGGTAATTATAAGGGGGAAGTCATGAATGAGTTGAAAAGCAAATGATATAAAATAGAATGAAATTAAAAATGCAAGTGAATTTAGTTGATATTAGTAAAAGAGGCAATAGTAAGTAGTTTGTCTGGAGTTGAATGACTGAACTAACTGAATATAGCTCATCTTCGATTGGTCATATTGTTGCTGGCTAAATGTTGGTAGGTAAATGGATATGTATATGTGTGTATGAATGGGTAGGAGTACAATATCTAAGCTTGCTGCTGCTAAGATAACATGCTGTTAAGAGCGTGCATTTATTTGTCTTACACGCTTGTTAGATCTCGTTTAAGGCTGTTCACTTGGGCTTAGTTTGTTTGTTAGCCGTCTATTGCCATATATAACAACCTGGGCCAGCATCACTGAATTTGGCTAGCTTTGGCTGCGTTAACGGCGGAGACATCCTTTCACTTTGCAAATCGATGAATATGAATTTACTCAAAGAACGTCAGCATCAGATTCTGAGCTTGAACGCATGCGTTTCAGCAGTAAATGTTGCTTGTCTTATATTCATTAGCGCACCAACTGCATTACATTTATTCATTTATTTATTTGCTTGTTCCATTGGTTATTTTATTTATTTTTATAATCTGTTACTGTTGCGACAGATGCCGTGGATACGTATTGGGATGAGATGATAATAATGGCACAGTATGATAAACGATTAATCTCCAAGTTTTCAGTCAGTTACGCTCTCTGAATGTAGCCGTAACATACATCCATTCGTCATCTTGTATCCATCTAGATTATATCAGTTGGTTGATTGAAGAATGGATATA